AAAAAGAATGAGAAGATGATAGAAGATTTTTTGGAGGTCTAGAGAGTTCAAGGAAGCTGTAACCATCAGGAGTAGCAAGAATAAAAGAGGAGGAGTTAGAGTTCTCGTGCCAAGTTTCAGTAAGAATAAAAAAATCAGGTAAGGAGGAAGAGATTATTTGATGGATATAAAGCGATTTTTTATTAATTGATCTTATGTTAATATTAAATAGTGAAAATGTAGAGGTAGATTGGATATTGGTACTTTTAAATCTAGTTATATTATTTAAACTAATAGAATTATTATTCTTATCGTTAGTATTAATTACATTAGGATTAGAGTGGGTTTTAATAAAGTTATTATTATTATAATTGTTATTAGTATCATTATTATTAATATAAATAATTATTGTTACTAACTATATTTATTTTTTTGTTAGAGTTAGATTTATTGTTTTTATTGTTATTATTAGCCCTAAGATTAAAGTAAAAAATTCGCCGCCGAACTACTCTCGTCGGAGACAAAGGAGTGTTGAGAGGCTTAAGAAGAGAAAGTCTCTAGAATAAGACATAATAATATTTACAAGTTATAGAAAAAGATATAGAAAGATATAGAAAAAAATAGTCATAGTAAAATGGAAGAAAACTCACTTGTTCAGAAGCTAAAAACAAGAATCCACCCAAATTACAAAACCACCGAGAAAACGTGCCGCCATCACGCTAAACGTAAACAAATTATGAAGATGAAGATAACTTATGGAATTTCCTTTTATACTAACATCAAAACGGCTTAGGTTTGTTATTCGATTAATGATTATCAAAAGAATAAAACTGTTCAATATATTTTATGCGTCTTTCTATGCTATACGTATACCTACACCACTTCAAGGCATCTTAGCATTCGGCGTGAAATAAATTTCTGTACCTATTGTTATTATTATGTGCAACGTTAAATGTGCTTTAAATATTATTTGTTTAAACTTATTATATTTAAAATTTTCCATATACTTAATTTATTCTCATCGATTTTCCAGCATTAAATTATTTTATGACCTCTTGAATCTCCTTCAATGGTCTATCCAGAAAGACTGTTAACAAAAAATGAATGCGCTCTCCACGCTTTGAACCTGCACTAGCTTTTTGTGATCTATATACAGCAACGCGCACTAAACTCTATGTATGCTTGTACGTTTACTTTATACATTTCTAAAATGTCAAGAATGCAACTTTTAATTTTTTTTATTTTTATTTTTGGAGCCAAAATTCGTATAAAACTGTATTGGTACTTAAAACTGTTAAGTGCATATGATGATGAAGAATTAATTTGAATAAACATTAGTTCGCATTTGTTATTCAAAATTCGCGATCCACTTGCGAAATTGAAAACTTGTACTTTTTTCAATATGGTTGAAAATCGTTCGCCGGTGATTAATGAAGAAAGAAGAATTGGAAACTAGATAACAAAATAACGACAGATGTAGAAAAGCGAGAGAGGGAGAGAAAGAATGAGACAGGGAGAGCGAGAAAGAAGAAAAAGAGATAAGAATACGATTGAAAACAGAAAGCGAGATTATATTTCCTCGTGCTAAATAACGTTCATGCAACTCTAGCCTGTGCTTCAATGTATTAAATTTTGTATTTTACTTAAATATTTTGCATTGTAGTTATAAAAATGTGAATATTTTGTCGTATTTCATAACATATAAATCCACATTTTCTTTAAGTTAAATGTCATAGATAGTTCTTATCGGTTGGCGAGATAAACTTTTTTTCTCTACTGCGCATTAACTCTCAAGTTATGTTTCATGCAAATTTCGATAAATTACTTATTTTCAGCGCGGTGAGCAAGATGAACAGTTTTAACATGAAAACAAGATTGAGCATACGAGCACAAACCTGTTGTATGCTGCTTAGCTGTTGTAGCCTCGCGGTAAAAACGTTTTGGCTTCGTTTGTTCCTTTTCTTACATTTGAAATCTTTTTTCTCGATACCTTATGTCGTTAATGCACTAAAATTGCAATTAGGGTAAGTTAGATGTTATATGAGAGCTTTTTAACCTTAATATAAGCACGCGCGAATCATGAATGGATAGAATAGAAAATGCCATGCTGTGATGATAGGCTGAGCACCATGAACTTCACATCATCAGAAACAATGAATGCACTTGTTTGCTAGGATTTCAAATGTTTGCTAATTTAATTGGCTTGTCATTCTGCCGTCCATATCAACAAGATTTTACATACTTCTCTGACTGTATTCCATAATTCTAACAAGATCTCTCCGTCTTTTAATATTTAATATTGTAATTAATTTACATAGGTTTGTACATATGTAGATATATGATAAAGCCTTAAATATTGGTAGCATTCAAACACAAAAAAATTAACCACAAGAGAATTTTGGTAATTTTTGACGCTGTGATTTTATATTGCATCCAGAAGCAGACCAGGATGAGATGGAAAGCCTTCTTTATCGATTCTCATCGTTTATACAGATGCCATGCAACGTCTACATGCAATTGTACACATATTTGAAAAAGCTTGAAACTGGTCGGTGTACAAACAGAGCAGAGCAGAAGCCTAGACATTTGGTGCACACACGCATGTACACGAAGAATTGGTTGCTTGCATTTCTTTCTAAGTGCCACTGAAATACATTCTGTTATTTGTATTTCTAATAAAATGGTACAAAAGTGTGTTGATATTTAAAACAATTCCAAATATTTCTTCTTGCATCTGATTTTTCATTGATCGATGGTAAGTTCTTATGACAATAACATCCATTCCATTATAACGTGTGCTCGCTCCTATCGCATGCATGCGCTTGCACAACGTTCATTCAATCCGATTCCCAGGGAGTCATAAGTTCATAAAGGATAATATTATTTTGAAGAATGGAAAAATTCACAATCATACAACTTTTTTTGGCATTACATTTTTGTGGTCTGTTGTCGTTTTTTGAGGAGTATCTAAAACTTTTTTATCGTATCATTGTTTAAATAAGAAAAGTATTAGATTGTATTTATTTAGATTCGATAGGTTATTAAATTTTATACATATTCCTTCGAAGCATATATAAATGTGAAAAACAGAGATCAAAATCAAACTTATCGGTACGTACACATAATATGCATAGACGAAGCTTAGACGCACAATCTCTTTATTCCTTTCCTAAAGCTACTACTTATTGTATATAACCAAGCTCTACTTATGATTCTTCTCTATATAAAATGTATGCTAGCTGGCGTGTATGCATGCATGCATGCATGCATGTGTTCATTTCAAATGTTATGTACATAAAGAAGGTAAATACGGCCTGGCTCCACAAACCTCTGTTCAATCTTAAAGAGTGTTTGGAGATTCGTTCATATATTTACTTATTTGTACGCTATTTAATTATCATCTATTAATATTTTATGTTACTCTTCTGTAAATACACACGTTCTACAGGCCGGACATCGTTTGAATGAGATTTGGTGTAAATGTGAAAGAAAACAGCGTGGTTTGTTATTCTCTAACAAAGAAAAAGGGTTATTTATTGTTGATATTGCCAAAGTTATTTGCAACTTATATTATATTTATAAATAGCTAAAGTATTAAAAGTTCTTTACTTAAGTTTGGTTTCTAATTGAAATTTGAAATTGGTTATTAAATGAAACACGTTGTTGATATCATGTCGACAATGACTGTGCAACAAGATATCGTTGCTTCAACTTCAGCAAATGCCTGCACTAACGCTTCCAGCATTTTAGCTCCTTGTAAGTAAGACACTATTTTTTATAATTTAATTTTTTTAAATTATTATGTACGCTACATTGTGGAAACGAATTTTTAAATAAACAAATAGTTGAAATTTAAATACTTTTGTGATTTTATCAGTTCATAACACAGAAGTCAAACCAATAAACATGATAGACAATGTCGTGAACGAAAAATTAGAAAGCATTTATGATAGAATACCTTTAGTTGACTTAGAAAAGCAAGGTTTGTTTTTATTATTTTTAAATTCAACGACATTAAATTAAATATTTTCTTAGTTAGATATAGAATTATGAAAAAAATTTCATCAGGAGTGCTTTGGGTAGACCATGCATGGGTAGACCATTTTTTGCTACTTACTATAAAAAGTGTTAAGTTTTAGGATTTTTTATTTTGTACAAGTAAAAACACGGACAGCTTAGAGTGGCCAACTTATTGTTTGTTCATTATTGTGTAGCTGCTGCTAACTCAATCATATTGTTTGGCAGGTACTTTGCAAACTACAGATCAAACAATGACTTGTACTATGAAGACTAAAGAAAAAAATGAATCTTTTATAATTCCATACATTTGTAGTGGTGCTTGCAACTCCGTATCAATTTCACCAAGTGTTTTAAATGAGCATTTGAATCATGAACACTCAAAAGATGAAAAAGTAAACTGTTCCATGTGTCAAGAAGCATTTGAAGGACATAACAATCTCATGCAGCACATTCTTGTAAATCACATTTCTTCAAATAAAATTATTTTTAAATGCCAAATGGAAAATTGCCAAAAAATGATGTATAGGTTATCTGATTTGCAAAGTCACTTTATTACTGAACATCAACACAATTTACTACTTCATTGCACTTTCTGTTATAAGCAAAAACCAATTGACAGAATTTACTTGCACATTCAAAGCCACTTGAAAAACACTTTTAACTGCTCATATTGTGACTTGTTCTTTGAAAAGAAAGAAGTCTTGTTTGATCACATTAAATTATTTCATGCTGGGTTACCTAAACGAATGAATCTTCTAGTTGAGATAATCAACTACGACAGGCTTCATTCGCAAGCTGAAGCAGAACTCAATAATATGCAGAATGGCAAAGTAGACTCAAAGCTGGAAGAAATTCAAAATTTATGTAATGAAAGTTTTGTGATAAAACCATTTAAACACTCAATGAAATACCAGTGCTCTAAGTGTACCTACACATCAAATACTGAAAAGACATTGAATATGCATTTGACATCATGCCATTTGAATGTGTGTGCTGCTGATTATTCATGTTCATTGTGTAAATATGCTACTGATGATAAAGAATCATTAAGAGAGCATATGTCACATCACAAAAATACATCACATACCATAAGAATTTATGCCTGCTCCTATTGCAAAAAACAATCAACATCTATGGATATCATAGAAAGGCATTTATCAAATCAACATCCATCAGAGTGTTTCAAGTTTAAAGCATTCCAAGAATCAATAAATTATTTGTCTGGTTTAGTGGAATGTTCAATTTGCAATGAGGCTTACTTGTGGAAAGAAAATTTTTGTAACCATTTGTCATCAGATCATAAACTTGAAAGCTTGGCAAATCATCTGTTAATAAAATTCAATTCTGAACCTATAACTGAGAATATAGTTATTCCAAAATTATTGTATGATTGTAAAATTAGATCACTTAGCTGCTACTCTGGCGATGGCTTTGTTACAAAAAATATAAACTTTAATGATTCTGGATTAGGTGTGCCAAAGTTGGCAAACAAAATGCTTTTTTCATGTAAATTGTGCCCATTTCAGTGCAATAAAACAATGAACTTCAAGAGACATTCAGCAATTCACGAGAAAGCAGAGTTTTTGAATGACTGCTACAAATGTGCATATTGTCAATTTAAGCACAACAAATTTAGCTGCATTAAATTTCATTTAAATAAGTACCACAATGAGTTGCCACTAAAAATTTTGAAAGTTTCAAATGGTGAGGAGGAAGAGGTTTCTTTAAGGGAAACCAATAGTAGCTGCCATTCTGTATTGCAGAAATTTTACAATGAACCAGAAAAACTGAAGAGAGACAGTTTGATTGAATTTGTGGATTCATTTTTGCCACGTGGAATGATATTTGCAGAGCCTGTGAAGTGTCCATACTGTGAATTTAGCAACAGAGTTAGAGTCAATTTTGTCAGACATATGAAGTTTCACATAAATGAAAAGACCTCATCTGACACTGACCAGGGATATGTGAGTTTAATTTTTTTCAGCTCTGACTTGGAAGTCATATATTTTGTTGTCATGCTGATTACGTATATTCATCCCTTAGTTTTAATTTTGTTTAAAGTTTCCATATTCATATTTAAAAATTATCTAGCACTAATTTTTTTCAATAACATGTTTTATTTTTTGTAGAATACTGTTGACAGACAGAAAGACACATACTTTGATGAAGATGGAAGGATGTCGACTGATGATGATTCAAGCGTAAATAATTCAGATGCATTTTTAAAAGGTACTTCCACAAAAAAACTGTTTAAATGTGCTTATTGCAATATGGTATCTAAGTGGAACAGGAGAGATATATGTCTACATATTATCCACGTGCATCTTTTGAAAAAAGTGTATTCGTGTAATTATTGCAGTTATGGCAGCAGCAAATCTAGTCAACAAGTTTTATATCATTGTAGTAAAGCTCATGCTGATCAGCCTTTATTGATTAAAGATGAATTGGCTTTGTTCAATTCAATTGTTCCATTGAAAGACGGAGACGGCATAATACCGGTGGCGTATGTCAAAGAAAACTCCGAGCCTATTTTAAATCTTGTGAAATTAGGAAAGTATTTAAAAATACCAATCAGAAAGCACAAACATGACTTTTCTGATAAACACGTTTTTTCAAAATTACCAAACAACAGCGAAACGGACAAAACCAGCCATTCTACAACGGACATTGATGATCAGGATTTTAATATTGACATGAAAATCCCACTAAATGATGATTGCCAAAATTCAGATAACGATGTAAGTGACTTCGAGAAAAATTTAGATAACATCGTCGAATGGAAATGTGTGCTGTGCGGGTTGCAAATGTTCAATGAGTCAATGATGAGGAGACACGTCATGTGCCAACATTTAAAGTTAAAGCCATTTTCATGCATCTATTGTAATGCACATTATTGGCAAAAACAGACGATTGAAAATCACGTTCGACATAGTCATGCCGACCAGGAACTCCAGTATAATGAATCTGCTAAAAACCAAACTATAGATTTTACTAGGTACATATTGAAGATGACAAATAACAACATAATTAACAATGAAGATGATTCTAAAATGCCACTGTTTAGTTATCATTGTCAGATATGTGGCTATCGTGCTAGCAGGCACGACAAGGCAAAATATCACATCATCAAAAAACATCTAAAAATTGGTTTATACAGCTGCTCTCTTTGTAAGGTGTACATGAGTACAAAAAACTGCTTAGATAGACATATTCGGGATTACCATGCCAATGAAAACGCCCAGGTCTTGAGATCTTTCGATACGCACGCTTTGCTCTTACAGAGAAGTATAACAAAAATACACAATTCATTTAATTCTAGAAACGTTAATTCTTATGACGGCAATGAAGAAGACGCGTGCGAGATGAATGAGGCAATAAGATCCATGACGTGCAAACATTGTGGCTACGTGGCAAAGAGCAAATTTGCATTCAATAATCATGCACGAGTTCACAGGTTGCATGTCTGTGGATACTGCGGCTACAAAAATCGACTGGTCAATAAAGTGCAGTTGCATTGCACGTTGAAACATCCAAGGCAAAAATTGTTGACACATTTGATTGAAGATCAAATTTTGTCACCACAAAGTAATGACGAAATTGTTAATGGTGATAGACAGTTTGAATCTATTGAAAATTTTCAATCCTCTGAAGGTAATTTGAATTAAATTTTTTGGACGAAAATTTTAATAAATTAATTTTAAATTTACATTCCAGATAATGTTTTTGAAAATGGTACGGAAGATGTAACATCTGACTTTACTAATCAAAATGTGCAAGGCAAGTCTAGCCTGTACAAATGCAATTTGTGTGAATACAGTTCTGATAAAGTAACAGTAATACGACACCACGTCATGTCCCATTTGCTCTATCACCCTTATCAATGTCCTTATTGCGATTCAGCTAAATCAGTTAAAAGTTCTCCGATAACAAAGCATGTTAATTTGAAACATCCCAATGAAATAGTTCGGTTTGAATGCATCAGAGATGAAGAAATGGAAGCAAAAGTGAAAAACTCATATGAAAGAGTATATTTTGACAATGAAGGCACATGCACATTTTCTACGTGTAATGACACCATAATGACGAAACGTGAAGAACAAATGTTCGCAATGAACAAACGCGTGTATTACAAATGTTGTTTTTGCTCATTGATCACTCCGATAAGAACTGACATGAAACATCATCTTATGAGAGAAATTAAGTATAAACCTTATTCCTGCTGCTACTGCAAGTATGATGAACCGAGTAGATCAAAAATGGGAAAACACTTTAGGGTAAAACATCCAGGAATGGATGTTTCTATAAGTGATGCAACCATGCCGGAAGTTGAACAAGAATTGAAAAGCCTCCTTCAGCAATGCATGGTGAGAATCAAACAAAAGTGGTTGCCCAATGGACAATCTCAATATTTTAAAAAGGAAGTCAAAACAGACGATATACCTATAATAAAAATATCTCATGATCGAAATACTTTAACCTCCTCACTTCGCTATAGAAAAGTAGAACACACATGCACTTTATGCAAATATAACACGTATGACATAAAAAAATTTGTAGTTCATAAAATGAAACATCACTACACTTTTCGAAAATGTTGGCAATGTCAGCTACATATTAGTGATATTCTTCATTATAGAAAGCATATTAAGAAGTGTAGAAGCAGAATGACTCAAAATTCAAACAAAAGTTATTATAAAGTCAGGCCTATTTTGTATCCTAATTTAATTAAATTTATCCAAAATAGGGAAAAGCAAAGTTTATACAAAACGTCGTCACAGTCAGTCAACGCTTTTGTAAAAACTTATGTTTGCGAAAAAAATATTGTTTTTTGTTGCCACGAATGCGAGGCTAAGTATCGCAACATTGACCAGTTTTCAACGCACATGCAAACTTCACATTACAATTTAAAAATAACTTTCCCGAGCATAGAAATTTTGCCAGAAAAAGCACAGCAAACATCAATAAGACAATGTGGTTTCTGTAGCTTCACCTGTGAAAATGATGAGGAATATGATGAACATGTGAACACTCATACGAAACTTAAGCCAATAAAATGCAAATACTGTTTGTTTGCATCGTTCACATCTAGCGACATGAAGAGACATTTTGAGAGTAAACATCCAAACCATGATGTTGGATTTGATGCGCTAACCGATTCTTATACCATGAATCTTCCTATCGCTGTGACAAAGAAAAACAAACTACATTTAAATCCAATTGTTAAGTTAATTGACATCCAATTTTGTTTACAATGAATCTTTGTTTTTATGAATTTGTCATTTTATATTTACATATGCAATGAATCAACTCGTCGATATTGTTAATATATTTAAAATGTGTCACCAAGTGTTTATTTTTTAAATTTACAAATATGGTCTTTTAAATACTTGAAAAACTTCGTCTGAGTAATGACATCTGCAGACAGCGCTCATTGCAGATCAGTAATTTTTTTGCTGATAATTTCATTCAAGTCAAAGGACCGCGTGTCCTTCTATGTTAAGTACGTAGTCAAATCTTTTAAACGTTTTTAGATTTTAATGGTGCAACACATCTGATATATTTTTTGTTATCGGCAAACTTAGTTATTTTGGCTCAGATAAATTTATACATGCAGTGCAATCATTGTTAATATATTAGGTATACCTAGCCCAGAACCGGCCTTGTGAATGGGCTTTAAGTTGAAAATAGACTTAGCTAAACTTATATCTAATTTTATCAAAAATTAGTTTTTCCTGCAAATTAATTTATTTTTCATGATAATAGTTTGTTAAAAACACTTTCATAATAAAATAAATTTTATAATTTTTCAAACGTTTAGTACAAAATTCATTTTGTGCCCTTGTAAACTTTGCGGCACCACATATTTTTGACAAAAATCAAAGTTAATCGGAGATGGATTTGCTAAGTGGAAAGATCTGGCAGAAATTTTGTTCACAAAAACCGCTTATCAACAAATGATTGAAGCAGAAGTAAGAATGAAAGTCGGTAAAACTATTGATAAACAAGAACAAAAATTAATCGAAAAAGAAAGTTTAAGATGGTGAAATGATGAATATTACTTTGTATTTGGCAACAAATAATATGGCTTTCAGAGATTCTCTTGATAAATTATATACAGGTAATAATGGAACATTTTTATAACTGGTACAATTTGATCCTATAACGTTGAACCACGTCATGCTAATTCTTAAAGAAAATATTTTTGATCACTAATGTGGAAGAACTATTCCAAATGAAATGATAGATGCAATGGCATTAAAAGTAATAAACATAATTATATCCAAAGCTACATGGGCTGCACATTATTCTGTTATTGTTGACTGCGCTTCTGACATCTCACAGAGAACGGCTTTTGCTCATAATTAGATTTGTATGTAGGTATATCCGAATATCCTACAAAAATAAATGCTCCCAGGAGAGAGTATAATGGGGGATACGATAAAAAAAAGATTAAAAACCATATGCATTCTTCTAATATTCCGAGGAATCCACACACAACGTACACGACTACATGTTAAACAACGCACTACACGCACAGCACATGGCAGGCAGGGATCCTTTTGTCATATTCGGCAAATTATCGACATCAATATAAAAAATATTTGTGATCGTTCAAAAAGGTAAGAGATAAACCAAGCCAAAGCTGTTCCAAAAATGGAAGCTGAATTTATTGATGAAAAGGCTGTGATCGACAATCGAAAGCTGAGTTTATATAGAGTATGAAAAGAAATGAAACAGATAAAAACAAACAGGAAGAAACCTCGATTAAAGTTGTTTCGGTAGAATGGTATCGGCAACAGCCGCATTGGAAAGATCGTTAATTTTAAAACGAGAAAAGTTGTCTGGCTGTTATTAGTTCAATAATCTTCGAGAAGAGACTGAGGCTGGATGTTGGACGGTGGTTAAATAGGTCATTAAGTTATCAGCTGCGAACTGTTGCATTTCGTTAATCAATTGATAGCCTCTGCATTTTCAATTTTTTTTTAAAACAAGTAGACAATTTTAAGCAAAAAATGTTCTTAATTATATCAAATTATATCAATTCAATATATTTGTAAAATCAAAATGGAACAGAGTAAATATTTAGAAAATTCTTGATATTCACAAATGAAAGTCGAGCTGTCTCATTTCGTAGGTTTCTTAGGCTGTACTTGTTTCCTGAATATAAATAAAAATTGAATTGTATTAGATTCAAAATATAAATACAAATTTTAATAAATTTTTATTAATAATAATAAATAAATATTTTAAATCTAAACACTTGGTTATTAGTCTGAGTAAATTATAAAATAAAAACTAGCCTGGTGGCACATAAAAAAAGTCGCCAGAACTTGAAAACAATTTCGTTTCACAAACTGTGACCTCTAACTTGCCAAATGACACATTAAAAATCTGTAAACGAACAATATTTTAAATTCATTTAATTTGATTTATTTTATAAAACTATACATTTTTCAATTCAATAAATCAAGAAAATAATTACAAAAAAATAACGGAATATATTCAGTTCCAAGCACTGTAGAGACCGTCTAACAGGGTCAATGAATTAGTCTCTTATAAGGGTTAAATTTTTAGGAAAGGAATCAAGCAAGTCTAACTTAGCTGCTTAATAGGACCAAAAAGCGATCGAAAAGCAAATCGACTAAACCCCAAGGTTTGCAACCACAAAAATATTGCTCATATACAAGACGCACACTTATCTCATTTTCTTATTTTAATTTAAAACGTGATAAAGAGTTTTTTCATAATTAGCATAGCACAATATAAGATACAATTTCATAGCGATCCAGAGACCAAGTCCGTAAAAGAACCATTTTGAGATATTAGTAAACTTACTTCTAAACAAAAAAGGTGATTACTATGACTCAGATAATTTGATCTAAATTGAAAATTAAATCATTATTAAGTTGCATTTTACAATTGGGTGATTATTAATTATCAAACATTACATCCATATTTGAGCAAATGTTAACTGTTAATATGCAATAGGAAAAAAAGATGTCAAACCATTAAATCTGATTTAACGAGCTGCATGCTCTTCTCTTGCAGTGGTCTGATCTCAAGTATGCCAGCACAGAAAACATCTGTTGACAGACCCCTCAACATGACCAACGGATCGTCTTCATTAGCAGGCTCTTTCGTTTGGCAGTTTCTCAGTGCAGATTTACAATATTTCATAACGCATTCTGAAATATGATTAATTAATATAATAAAGTTATTACAATATTGAAACAAAAAAAAAATATTAAATCATAGGTTAACTATAAGTAAATAAATGAGAAATTAAATTATAGAAAAAGTTAAAATTAATTTACCACGAGGAACGATACGATGCGACTTTAGATCAAAGACATCTATGACAGATGAGGACACGAAAGAGTTATCATTAGCATCTATAGGAACATGGGCTGATAAATCTGACTGATCGTTTCCAACGACAAGTTTCATTTTATTCTTTCCTCGTTTATTAGTTTGCTTTGTTAATTTTCTAACTGAGATGTTGATAAAAACAGAAAAATGACACGGATTAAGAACATAAATACGCAGATATATATAACTTCAAATACACATTTGTTTAAATTAAACATGAAGCACAAAATAGAGTGCATTTAAAAATTAATGTGAATAAATAAAATTTTAATATTATGATAAAAAAATATTAAAACATATGGTCACGCATTTTACAAGTAATTTTAATGATATCACAGTTCAATGATATTCACTGACCCGTCCTTCTGGCGGTCGGTTTGGGTGTCTTGAACACTGGTGGTATGATGCTATCAACTTCAAAACCTTTTAAGACAGCATTTATGGAAAGTAATTATAAAAAAACCGAAAAAATAATTCAAATTGCCCAAATTAAATTGGCCAATGTTAATATAGTACATGTTAATCAATAAATGATTTCTATTGTATGTTAAAAACATAACTTTATGCTTAAAATTCAATATTACTTCATATGCTGTTTATAATTTTAAAACTAGAATTTTTTATTTTATTCACTTGCTATTATAATATTAATAGCAGTTTTTAAAATGACATCTACAGCAAATTCCATATTCTTCCAAATATGAAGAGCAACAAATCCTAAGGGAAATAACTTAAATAGATAGTCTGATGATCAGAGTTATGTAGTTGTTGTTGGTTGTAATTCTGTAGGGTTGTTTGGACAGTTGAAAAGATGTTGAACACCGTGAGAACTGTTGCTACAAGCCTGTTGTTATAGTCCTGAAGAGACAGTCTTCAAACAGTGGGACTGATTGTCAATTTCGACAGCAAACTGTTGCAACTCAGCTCCAAAAGTCGATGACCAGAGTCATAGAAAATATCAATAGAAAAATAATAAAACAAAACACTAAAAGAATAATTGAATAAAATGTAAAAAATAAAAAAACCAACATTTGAGAAACAAAATATGATGGAACTCACCTTCGGGGGTCCACTTGTATCGAACCCTCTCGCCTTTGTACCAATCTAACGTAGCAACTTTGTTTCTCTTCGATCTTCTCAGGCCTGCGGCCACGTTTGCTTCTTCTGGCTGAACTAGAACAAATTAATCATACAACAAGATGTCTAACAAACTATAAAGATGAAATCATATAACAATCAGCAAAAACAATCATAATTAATTTGTTTTGTCCGCTTCATTAAGTGGAATGTTATTTAAAAAAAGTGGATTTGAAAGATAACGACTCAGATGCAAGATTATATTAATATTCAGAATGATAATTAATTAATTAATTGGGATTTCCTGGTACCAACAGCAAACAACATCTTATTAGACCTAACTATTTAAAAGTTGTCAGACCCACTTGTTGTATTTAATTTATCTCACAAGATCACATTTGAGATAGGACTAAAAGTACTGTAGCTTTCACAGAATGCCTTACAATGTTATAACCTAGCCTAAAAATAAGTACAAGATACCCTAACCAATTTTTCTCTTCTTCTGGACAGAATGGGGTTTAGGTTGCACAGTCTCACTGAAATCTAACATACCTGCAACATTAGGACTTAATATTGGTGCTTCCAATGGACTTGCTACTGCGTTTTCCTCTAAAAAACAAAAGTTAATGAAAGCCTGTAACAATTTTTATACTTGGTTATTTTGGTTTGAAATATAAAAATCACAAATATGAACATAATATTTCAAGATTGCATACACTCTTTGAAAAAAAAATCAGATGCAAAGGCATAGCCATAATAATATTAAAGAAAGTATTTAATAATTAGGACACCTTGCATTTGATATTATTATATTAAACTGGAATAAAAAAAGTTAAAAGAATAGGCATACAAGAATTTAATTGATAAACAAACCGTTATCAGAAGACACATTCTTCTTTCTAGGGTTTGCTGCTCGTTTTGGTTGTGATGTGACGGTATGTGATCTGACAAGTTTGGGAATTGTCTCAACCAGTGGGTCTCGGGTTGATTCTTATTTCATAAAAACAAATAAAAAATAACTTATTATTCAAATAAATGAAGTAAAATGTATTTCTAAAAATTTAAGTTAAGCTTTGGTAATGTCAAAAAAAGCATTATAGAAAAAACTCCTGATGGAAAAAATGAGATTTTAGATAAAAATGGAGACATGTTAATAGTATAAAATTTGGCTACAAGTGACTGATATATATGCTTAAGTTATAAACAGAATACATGAAAAATCTATTTCTTAATTGTCCAATTTTTGACTGATGAATTAGCGAATTGTTATGTAAGAAACACAACATTCAAAACGTCCTATAGATTAATTCCAATAAAGGATTAATAAGGATTAATGTCGTCTAAACGTGTGTTGTTGGTTGATTAATAAGAAAAACATCAAGCCACAAATATGACATTCAATAATAATTCATTAATAAACTTGATGAGATGCATACACTAGCACTTACTGTTTGATGAAGACAAATGTTGCATATTTCCTGGTGTATGCTGGTGACTTTGAGACTGATGTGCAGCAGACGATAGAGCATGTGGTCCATCACTGGAGCACTGTCGGTCGGAGGGAGCTTTTTGGTGAGATTGTTGCTGTGAAGTGTAATCGTCTCGGAAGAGGACGACTCGAGGTTGATCAGCATCATTACCATCACCACCACCCTGATTTTGAACTCGAGTTGCAGTTGTTTCTGGTTTGTCTGATGACAGTTGCTGAAAAGTGTTAATATTATCTTGAGAAGTTACGGTTGATCTGCTGTCATCTTTAAAAGTTACAGTAAGTCCTCTGCTTGATGAACTTTTTCTTCTTATGAAAGGTGTAGAAGTTATTTGATTGTTGAGTTGCGAAGCAGGTAAAATTGGAGATAAATGATCAACAGCGTCGACTACATCAGAGTTTCTTGGGGAGTTTCTTCTTATTGTCATCTGCTCTCTGTTTTTTCAATGTTTGTACACATTTAAAAAAGAGGACAGTTTCATCAAAATAATATAGAGAGAACCAGTTAAAATAAGAAATAAACACTGACAATGGCGGTGGTGCAGCATTTTCCTGTTGAGAATCAGCATCTTCATTCATCACATTGTTTTCATAAGGAACAACTGAATTTGCAGCAGTTCGATTGCTTTAAAAAATTATTTTAAGAAAATGTTTAAACGAATGAGAATAAAAGAATAATAAAATATTCTGTCAAGGATAGATCTAGATTCGCTTATTTGGGTGATTGCTTACTTATCCATGAGGAACATTTCTTAAATGCAAATCACTTTACTTCCTCGTCACCATCCGCAAAATAAATTAAACAATACTGCTGCCCTTATTTTTCTTCCTAAAATGTTTCTCAAGAAGTTCACTGTACCATCTCCATGGAATAAACTGAATTGCATCTTTCTCTCCATTGCAGTCAGCAAAGTGCAGAATCACAAAATTTGCAGGCAGAACTTGTCGATCTTAGAAAAAAGAGATGTAAAAGAACAGAGGGGCCCCCCCAAAAAAAACATGCAGATAAATAAAGTGGGTCAATGTGCCAATCTCATTTTAGCAAATAATTTGACTGTGTTTAGACTTGACAGCACAGCATAGCCAAATAAGAAATAAAAACAAAAGATAAAACTAAAACTCAAACATTGGTTGAAAATTTTGTTATAAAATCTTATTTATTAGGTAGGAGAGATGAAACCTTCTGAAGAAAATGCTACTTTTTCTGTTGACAGTTGCAGCAGCGTCGTGGATTGTGAACGAAGGAATTGATGCCTGCAATAGAAAAAAAGAGAGATATACTTTCAATTTAAAAAGCAGAGTGCCAACATCATAGACTAACATTGCCATTGGCGATAACTGTTGATCTCCTTGGTTTCCTCTTAGGTGAAACTGCAACAGTCTGATCACTAACACCTATTTTACATTTAATATGATTGAATTGAATTTATAAATTATTCAAACTTGTATGTAAATATACACTTTTGACACCTGGTAAAATATAGTAAAAAAATTACATGAGGTAATAAGATAAATAAAGAAGCAATTTTAAGGCTAGTTAACAAAACAAGTAGTCTGTTTAAGCATGAAGAAATAGCCATTACAATGTTCTAGTGAACAGCATAAATTAAAAAAAAAATTAAAATCAAATTAAAGGAAAGGAAGCTGCTCTATGTATACAAAAAGCTTCAGGTGTGAAAGGTTCTACAACTGGTTAGTAATTGATCCAAAGTATAATTTATTAAAAGTATTAATTAATAGTTTGCAGAGGAAACTGCCCATTGTCTTAGAACCAAACAGAAGTTCAATCTTTATTAATCATTTACTCCAATTTTAATCTGTTTCATGTCAAGGTTAAATGTAACATTTTGTGAAACTGTTGCCATAAACATTGTTTGTCTGTCAAAAATTGATAGCTAACATACTTTTATCAGTAAAATAATCACAGAACTCGTCAAAGCCATGCTCATCGACTCTGACCATCTTACCCTCTTTAGGATTCCGTTTTGTTCGACTGTTGTAACAAAATTATTTACAAGACATTAACAATCTGTGATGTACTTTACATAGGATAAAATGGCAATATTAAGCTTACCAAGTAAAATATTCAAACATCTGAACATGAGTAAAATTACATAAAATTTTTCTGTTTTTAAAATAATATTTTGTCATCAAAATAAAAATTATCAAATTTGTTGAAAATATAAACAAATATATTTACGGCCCAATGCATTTATTTTTCTGGTGAAGTGGTTTGCAGTGCTGCTTACCCATGATACATATATTCTACCTGTAATGTCGAAAAATATTAAAATTTTCATTTAGTAAAGACATAGTAAGATCAAGTTTGATGACATTCATAAAACATTTTGTTAATTTAGCTTAAATTAAATTCAGACTGGAGCAATCTGATATACTTTTGTTTTAAATCTTAACATTTGATTCACAATTAATTAAAAGATGTACAATCGTGAGTCTATAAGCTAGCTCTCTAATGTCTAATAAATTAATAAGGAAGTCCTTTGAGAGCATACAACTACTAAAATTCATCAATAAACAGACTGATAACTTAATCTTATAGCATCAGTTTTTTCAGTCATTAATCTGTGTGAATGTTTGTGTGGTTCTCCATGTGCATATGCATGGGAATCGATGGACATTTACATAAGGTGCCCATGCATACGCCAACATGTATGAATGTCAATATTGAATATAAGCCTGTGTGTGAGCACAAAATGCATTGTTAGCTGTTTATTCATGCTCAGCAGATCTTGACTTTTGTTTTTCTTGAGATTTGATTTTGAGCCTTTGACATGGCACCTATGACATGATTTTTATAAACAAAAATCATTTCACAATTTAACTTCCTTGATTGTAAAAATAATTCCGCTTGACTAAATTAGTTCACCTCATCTGCTTACGTTCGTTACATGAACACTTCTTTAAATAAAAGATAAGATTAAAATGCAATGTAATATTGAAAATGCTCCTGATTTCAGACCAACTACTGATGGTCTGACAGACTGACAGGATAGAGTTCCCAGATTTTTAGCCTGTAACTTCATTTTGTTTTGTTCTTGTGACATACATAGCACATAGCTATAGTAAATAGTAAATACTTACAAAGTATTCAAACTTTCTCTAACTAAACTAAAGTTTTACGTTTTTTGCTTGCTTAATTTACTAAAAATAAAAAAATACCACTGAGACTCTACTAACTAGACCTAACCATCGGTACTGGGTAATCCAAAAATTGAGAAACAAAGGGTTAAAAATAAATCTAGGTAAATCTTGCGTCATCCTTGTTATTTATTGACTGTATGTATTGAATAATAAATAAGTGATTGATTGAGTTATTGTTATTCTGTTATTTATTAATTTTTTATTCAATTGAATATCAATAAAACAAACTGATGGAGAAATTTATTAAAATTTGCTAACCTTTATTAAAAATAGGCATTCATGAAATGAAAGTACGTAGATTGTAGAGCTAACAATTTATTTAATAAAAATCATACGAATTAATATTTCAATTTTATTTGCATCTGGCGGCATCATAAAATTTGCCTCTTGCGCTTTTGAAAATCATAAACAAACAAAAATTTTCTAGCACGTCATTTTTATTTTTGCGTTATTTAAGATAGTAAAATAATGGTAGATCAAGAAACCAAATTCTGAATTTATTAAAAATCGTTTATTAGAATAATTATTTTTGTGGCTTAGCACCAGAGTGTCGTAATCATATGAAAAACTTACAGGGTGTCGGATGAAAAATTTACTGGGTGTCGGATGAAAAATATAAGGTCTGACTTCGGCCCCAAGGCCCTTCAAAAAATTCCTACTGACTCCGGGTAAAAATTTCTGACCCCGACTCCTGTCCCAACTTTAAGATAAAATTGCCAGCAATAACGAACCCAGAAGAGTAAGGGGATGCACCTCACTTCCCTGCCAAGTTCCATTCAAAATATACGACGAAAATGAACAAAAAAAAAAACATTTCCCATTTTCCAAGCGTTTATTTGATTATTAATGTGTGACAATGGAGTTTAACACATATAATAACTTATGTATAAACGGTCCGCATATATAATTGTAAGGAAAGGAAATTAATGACGACTCAGTCGACACCATAAATGGCAAAAACTAGCAAGCATATTCCTAGAGATCAAACTAACATATTTATCGGCAAATATTCCCCTGATTATCTTTATGGATTAAAAACTCACAAGAACAATAATTATAATCTAATCATAGATCAATTTCAACTCCACTTGTCTATATAACAAAACCTCGTTAAGCGTTTGTGAGCAAAAAAGTGGTCGAGAGAAATTGAGTGGCCAAATTTAAATTAAGTGATGTTGTCTCGCCATGATATTATCATCTCCCTCTTCACCGTTTACGCGGTAGTGTACCTCATTGTGTCTTTTTCTGGCGATGCTTTTTTCGCATGATGCGACCATAGTATTTCAACTTTCATTCTTTGATTGAGTTCAGCAGTCATCGATCAACATCCGCCTGTTTAAGTACCCGCTTTATTAGTCAGCTTTATAATAAAAACTAAAAGCATTGAAACCAAACTTCTAAAAAATTAGAAATCCTAAAAACATTTTATTAAAAATATTTATATTTTAAGTAATTAAAAGCATTCAAAACGTTTTTTGATGTTAAAAATATTTACTGAAGGAAACGTCTATAAAAATATTTTAAAATTTGTTTTTAAAATTTTGTGTTTAACATGATTAAAAATAATTAAATTAACATAATTTATAATAGTTCATGAAACGACATAGTAGAAATCAAGAGATTCGAAGCACTGTGGAATCTTCTTTGATTTCAATCTTTTTATTGGGATAAAGTGCACATAACCAAGTTGACAGGCAGTGGCTGACAAGAATTTCGTCAGGAAATTCATTACTGGACAGGAATGGAAAAGCATTTTCCTTATCTTTGGCGCTGAAGTATTCGTACAGAACATCCTTCAACCTGTTTTAATTATAGATGCCGCAAGTAATTACAAAAGGTACAAAATAGTTGCAAAGATGTCATTCAAGAAAATTAAAAGCTAATTAATTATACGAAGCAACGTGTAGACAATAAATGGGAGCTAGAATTTAGCAATTTTAACAATTCAAGAAAGTTTAGAAACCCAGTTCCAAACATTTATTCATTAAAGCATCGAAGTAAAAAATAAACTAGGGTCATTATAAAAATGATTAAAAACCTTTGATTGGAGTTGTCGAAATCTTCTCCAACATCATCATGCACTGTTCCAGTTTGGGTGAGCTCAAAAAGTATGCACTCATAAAACGTCTGAATAAAGTCATCCATCCTAGCATTGGCGAAGCACTGTACCAGCCGCTGCCTCATATCATCTGAGAGGTTCTGCTTGAACTTGCCGTCGACATGATCCAGCGGGTTCTGTACGATTTTTATAATATTTTCTAAAGTTTTGTCGGCGATGACCCGTAACAAAAAATACTAACATATACATTTTATTATCATCCTAATTGGCATCGTTAATAATAATTACCAAATTATATCGTTGTAGTTAGTCATCATCTACAGGCAAGTCATTATTATAGTGTTATGATATTGTTTTTTGTGCAAACGTCAGTTGTCACGTATAAGATTTCTAGCGAAGAAATTGGAACGCAAACAGTTTCAAGTCATTCATCTATTTCAACAGTTGTTTAAACGGTCAGTTGGCTAGTCGAAAGATTTCATAAAATATCATCGACTGACATCATGTACAAGATGCATTGAAAATATGCGAGGTCAAAAATTGCTATGTGAAAAGTATTATATGATTTTCAGTCAATAACTAATAAAAAAAAACTTAAAATATATTTATTCAACAATGTGTATTCAGTTTTTAGAACAAACAAACAAACGAAAATATTTACATTTAAATTTATATTAAAATTCGTTACCTGTTCATTTTTCACTAGAAATTTTGCCCTTATCAACGATATCGCCAACCAAGCTGATCTCGCATGTTTCAACTGCAAACTCTTCAACTATTGACAAGTGAAAGCAAGTTTTAATTTGACAAGCATCTCTAGATAAACAAATATACAAATTAATAAGAAAATAAACAAATAAAAAGATGAATAAACAAATAAACATAATTAATAATGACTTAATAAATAAAAAAAATGAAAAAATTTAGATACAAAAAATATATATATATACATAAAGCATGACTGAAATACGAACAGCTAGCATTGAGGAAATATTGGTTTTAATTTTGAGAACTTCATTCATGAAATCAACAATTTTCTTCTCAGGATCGGTGGCAACAGAAGATAAAAATTCGACGACGATGTTGAAGCAGGCCAGCGCATCGCTTGCAGTTGCCAACGTCTTCAAGTCCTTCTCGAAGATGTTTTGTGGCATCTGAACCTTCAAACCATTCAAGTTTATGAACTTAAATTTGGAACCGACCTCATATCAGAAAAAACCCACCAAGCTATTAAACGTGTATTCACACGCGTGCTAAGTTTTCTTATTTTAGCGAAAACTTGACTTTTCGTATAAACACCAGAAAAAATGAAATGGGAATTATAATGGAGTTTTTATTGAAAATTATTGCGGAAATGACAAAGTAAGTTAAAAAAATCGAAATGATAGCAAACCAAAAAATTTCAAGCGTGCAAAGTGAATTAACGTTCGGAAACAAGAAAAAAATATTAGCAAACAACGACGCCGACCTCGTAAATGCGATTGAATTTAGAGACAGGATCTTAATGAATAACTTGTAACTACAAGAGATTATTACGAAAAGTGATCTCTTATCAAGAAGAAACAAAATGAAGAGATAGATACCAAACCAACCTGCTTTATCCTTCGTTCCAATTCAGCAAACGTTACAGCTGCTTTGAAATCTTCTTTGAAAATTATTACATTCATCTGAAATTCATACGTTCACTTCATCAATAGAATTTAAAATTAAATTCATCAGTTGAATTTTAGATCAAATTTATTTCACCATTTAAATTTTACATAAAGGTTTCTTATTTGAATTATAAATTAATTTTACTACTCGACGTACAGATGGGTTCAAAAAAGGTTTTCCGGATATAAATTTAGATATGATTTGTTTTTCCATATTGTCATAATCATATTCAATTTTCGTGAAAGCACCCAGCTGGAAAGAATAGTTGCAATTCGCAAGGAGAAGGGCGGGTAGGTCCCTATCAGGATCGTATGTTACGATGTGCGCCACTGTGCTTTCGTCCAAATTCACGTGCTGTATATTACTGGGCAAAATAAATTTTCTTGTTAATAAAGATAATTGAGCGCTTCATTAATTGGCAATTGGTGAGTAGTACATGGATATATATATTTATATCCATGGAGTACTATCGTTACCATTATTCATAAATTTGTCAAATTTTTTTCGCATTAAACAGTTAAAGCGACAGTTTGATAAATTGATCTACTTTTACCGGAATGTGCAAAAATTCATCCGTTTTCAGATGAAGATTTTTTAAATTGATTGTTAAAACAAGTAAGTTCACAATAAAATCCGGCAAAGGTCTTTTAAGTTACCTGACTATTTTTTCCTTTGAAAAGAAATCAAGCAACTGATTTTGTTGATCGATGAGGAATTGCACAAGAGCCACAGAATAAAGACCATACCTCCTCCATAGCGGCAAGGCAACTGCAATCTCACTGTTCAACGTCAAATTATCTTTCAAATACTTCTCCGGTAGTTTGATTCCTTTGTAAACTGAGTAAAAAATTAAAAAAGTAAAAACTCATTTACATAAAAATTAACAGAACGGTTTGCATAACAGTTTGAAATAAAAAACAATAAAACACACCATCAGGGATTGAGTGCCTAACAGCATTCCAGGTCTCAATGAAAACCTCAAACAGAGATTGAAACTCACTTCTCTCGTAATCTTGAACATTTTTAATCAAAAATTAACTTTTAAATAGTTTCATTCAACATTCAAAATACTACTGATCTGATAAAATAAACGAACTTACCATCTAACGAGAGGTCCAAAAAGTTATTGATTGTGACCGCATTTGATTCTGAATAATCCAATGTTCTGTTTAATTTGAAGATCAACTTCTGATGAAGTTTGTGAATTGTTGGCAAATGCTGAAGTAACCTAAGTAAAGGTTGCTGAAAAACAATTAAATGAATATGTATATTTAAAAAAAGCGAACTTTCATTAATTGATAATAACAATAATAACAATAACAACAACAACAACAATAATAATAATGATAATATTAATAATAAACTATTTTCATGTGACAACGGACAAAATCAGACGACATTTTTATGTATTTTTTTTATTGCTCAACAAAGAATGACTGAAGAGAATGCTTTGCTTCAAATAGGACTACAACTTCTACTACATCCCAGCTACAGTTAGGGTTAATACCACAACAAATAATGCCACTATTATAAGATGAACAACAATAATGATAAAATATATGGCATGTTAAAACATCTAAAATTCATTAAGCATCGTTTTTTTAAAGGGAGATAACAATGTGTATTGCTCCAATAATGAGAAGCAACGAAAATTTGTAATATAGAAAAAATAAAAAATATAAAACACATTTGTTTTTGAAGTATATTATTGGACCATAAATGGAAAATAGAAAAGAAAACCCTCTTCAAGAAATACTGCAGTAGTGCATGAGAGTTATTAGAGTTAACTCCAGAATTCAAGTTCTGCAGATCCAATATCATGTTCTCCATTGAAACTCTTGTTCTGTACCTCCACAATAAAGGGGAACTTTCAATCTCGTTCACATTCAATGATTTTACATACAATGGCTGTGTTTCGACTTCATATATTATTTTCATCAACTTGTTGCTTTCTGTTGAATAGTGAAATTATGGTGTAAAATAAGAAAGGTTCTATGAATAAATCTCTATTTAAATTTTGTTTTTGATATTTAAAACTATGAACGTCAAATAAAGAGAAAGAAATTAGCACCTTGTCTCTTATCTTCCATGATCAACTGCTGGATGGCTTTTAACTTTGCATCAAGATTCTTAAAAAATAATAAATGAAATTAACACGACCTTCTCACAACAAATCAGATTCGTTAAAATGAAATTTGAATTAATCAATTATAATCACCAATATGACAACTGAACAGTGAAAACATTTTAAAATGTATAAATTTTTTTTGAAACCAACTGCAACAAGAGGAGCAATGAATTGAGCGACAAAATGAATCTCCCATTGTTTTCTACCCTCTTTTGAGTCCCAGTTAACATCGGCTCCATGTGAGGCTTTACAAATATTCAAACGGAGACTAAAAAACGTTCATATGATAAAATTGTATTTAACAGATTTATGTTAGACCAACACTTATTATCAGACGAGGCGATGTTGTGTACGAGCTGATGCAGAACCAGGAGGACATCATCACGACTTTTCAGCAGACAGGTCTGAATAAATGTTGAGAGGATCTTTGTTTTTTTGTTTCAGTTTTTATCTCTTGAGCGTCTTATTTCAAATTAATAAACTGAAAGACGTTTTTTGGCACCTCGATATCCTGCAAGTCTCGGATAATGTGGTTCATGAAAAATGTCGAACAATCTACCGTGGAGATGGTTGGATCTATGATCCCATGTGGAAAGTCCTAAGGGCAATGTTATTTGGATGCATTTTCAAAATCAAACTTCTTATAAATTGCCTAATAGCATATTTGAAAATAAAATAAATTTAAATAATTAGCAATTGATGCTAAATAAAATTTTATGACAGAGATGTGTATGAACGGTTCATAGATTATTTGAGAAATCAAACAATTTGTTACTAAAACATATAAAATTAACGACGATTATGTAATTTAACTATTATTATGTAAATTCAGTTTTTGTCACAAATTGATTTTTCATTCCAATTTTCATCCACCATTATAAATAGCTCGCTGAACAATTACCAAGAAATGTTTGTCGGCAACAATTTACATTATTAAATAAATATATCAAATGAGAATTCAAAAACATTATTAATTTACTAAACTAAAAAAAAATTCAATACCAGTGTGTTTGTAAACTTGAATTTACCAGAATCAAGAAGTAAAAAAAAGGATTATAAATTGAAATGAAAACCTTAGTTTGTGATGCAACATAGAGAGATAGATGTACAAGAATTCTGACAAGAGACGTTTGCAGGGCGGTCATGTCCCGCTCAGAAGTTGCAGGTCCTCTCTTCTCTGCCTTTCCCAAAATATGACCTGACTTCGTTTTATCTCCGCTAAATAATTGCGTTTGTTTAAAAAATATCATTAAACATTTTGAAAAACTTTTGATTAAAAATATAAATAATGTATTAAAAGATGACCATAAATTTCAAAGATATAAAACTAACTTAAACTAAATTAACTGTCGGCTTAGACAAGTTCGCATTACATGAATAAAACTGTGCTATAATAGTTTTACACAACTTCAAGAGAATGATTAAAAGGCTCATTAGAAACTTTCTTAATGTTTGGCGGAGAAGCTTTATGAAAATGTTACATCGAGTTGAATACTATGACAACGGTCTTAGCTCAGTCAGCCAATGTGGTATATAAGGCTGACTGCAAATGTTGACATACAATTTGAAAATTTATTTCTTCATAAGGAAGTTTTTCAGCCGATGAACCTTCCCATCGTTACTGCATACAAAAACAAAAAGCTGAACTTTCGAACAGTCATGTTAAACTATCTTCTGTTTTTTGCGTTTCCAGACTAACAGTTTTTTTGTAGAAATTAAAATCTATGGAACGGTTTAGTAGATAACTTTTGGGCAACAATAACATTATACTTAACGTTATTTATAATAAAATCATAAAACAATTGTGCTAAAATTCGGTGAAAAAAGAAATGAATAAAACATAAAATAGTAGAAAAATATGACATAAAATTTCTGGCTTAACAGATGTTGAAAATTAGAAATTTGCTAACGTGAAGGTCAACAATTGATTCTCAGCAGCCAGGTTATGATTCGTGCCTCCAACAATTTTGCCGCAAACATTACAAGGTCGACTCATTGCCGGTTTACCACACTGAATCAATGTTATTGAAAATATAAATACGTATATAGAAGCCAGCGCACATCCAGTCCAAAAATTCAGAGTAAATGAATGAATGAATGAACAAATAAATGTATCAAAAACACCCCACAAGAACGGGAAGGTTAGCAGCAGTTTACATCTTAAAAACTCACACGGCCAAAAAATGTATATGTATAGAACAACAGAAACATCACGATCACAAGATTAACACAAAATAAATACAGACTCTCTCTCTCTCTCTCCTCTCCTCTCTCTCTCTCACACACACACATCACACAGCGATAAATATTTGATAAAAGATGGAACGAACCTCTCCAATTGTGTATGGATGGCCATCGGGACAGACTGATGATGATGATAAAGGTTTAATAACGATTGAAACATGTTGAATAACATTACATAAAGCAAGAAAGATGCAAACGGAAAAAAATTTTACTTAGAATATCAAGTGTATATGCTTGCAAAAATTAACGTGTTACAATGCAATCAAAATATTTTCTATTGATTTAATTATTTTATTATAAGAATTTTATGTATTACATTTATTAATTCCAATGTATTAGAAAGGATTAGAAGTATATAAACAGCATAATAAATTTATTAATGAATGAGTCTTGATAAAACTTCAATTACAAAATATATGAAAATAAAATCCTCAACTAAACGCTAACATTTACAGTTTATTAAACCACCAAAATCTCAACGAAACACGTTAGAGAAAACAAATTAACGCAAAAACCTTCACCGACCATAAAGCTGAAGCGGTCCTTCAAAGACGCTAGTTTGGAGAACTGAGAAAGCTTCTGCCACTACGTCGTGAGGCATCGTAGGAAGGTAAGCAGTCTGTTATTTCAATTTTTGATATAATTAAAATATACCAATCAAAAACATCCGTACACACCAAACGATGCTGCAATTTGCGAACGAAACAACAACTTCACCTTAATGAAGGCTGCATCTTGGCAGAGTTTTGCAATGCATCCCAACAAACTGTTGCTTCTTTTTAAACCGGATAGAGCGATTGTGAAGTGCATCAAGAGGTCCAAGACTTCCGAGTGATCGGCTGGCGTCACCTTCATGCCATCCATGTTGTTGGTTAAAATCTTTGCAGATAACTCCTTTGAAAGTGGTTTAAATTGTTCATTCAATTAGTTTAAAATCTTTCAAAGGAAAACATTTGTTAAATAAAAAATCCAAACTTTGTTCTTGACTGTCGACTTTTTCAACATGTACTGGTTGAGGGAATCTACAAACTGGAAAGAACGAAAAAATTGAAAACTCATCAAAAACACAGCGTGTATGTCAATTAAAAATTTATAATAACACTTGAACATATATGAACATGTTTTATTGAGCAATCATTTTAGACCTTTTGATCAACGTGTTCTTCGGAATCTTCAAAATGGTTCCTGCGAGTAACACCTTGGTACAATGCCAGGTTGAAGATGTAGTCATTTAAATTTTTAATCTGAAAATATTTTATTGATCAGTAAATATTCAACTATGAAACGGTTTAAAAAATAGTTCAGGCGACAGTAAACTCCTGAAATTTCATGAACAGTCAAAAAATGTCTCCAGACCTGATCAAGCAGTTGAACATCGTTGCCCATGGTTACTAGAGTGATGGCATCTCTGCAATCTCTGTATGTCTCACCGACGAGCAAAAATCTGTCCGCTGGTTGTTTTAGCTGGATGTCGTGATGCAGTCATAATAACTTTAATTCAATACTACTTGGAGCATAAAGTTTCAATTGAAGTTTTCATGCGATAATTTACCATAATTTAACAGTTTCGACTTGAAAAACTGTTGCGGCAAATGGTGCAAATAGTATCTCAAATTTTAAATCGCAAAAATAGATAAATTAATAACTTGATAAGATAAAAAAACCTGATCGTTTGTTTCATTCGGTCCAATTATCCAGTGCCAGCGCGGTTGTTGAGAAAGTTCAATAAGTAATTTTATGCCAAATCTCCGAGCGATTTGTTTTATCAGGAAGTATCTGAAAACAAATAAATTTATCAATAAAAATGTCAACCACAGCAGTTGAATCAACAATTCGTACCTAGCAAATTTTAAATTCAGGCAAATTTCTGAAGCAGATTCACACATAGACCTGAAGACACTACCATCCGTTCCAATGCCGTTAGAACTGATGCAGATAGCACCAGCCAATTCATGCAAGCCATATTGAATAAGGGCAACTTTCTGAAGTTTTTTAACACCCAACAATCCTTGATTCACGGTGGGAACATCATAGCTCTTCCAAAGGTTAAGAATGAACCTCAACTTCGTCTGCTGCTGCTTCAAGCCGAGGTTGTAAAAGTGATCCTAAAAAGTAAATGCTGAATATGACATTCACAAATCTCTCGAATTCTACTAGTGAACTACTGATAATCATTTGTTTAAATGGTAATTTTTTACGGGCATCATAAAAGTATTTCAAATTTTGATAATTCACTTTTTAAATTAATTGTAAACTCAAGTCAGTCACAGTCATACCTAGCCATCAGTTAGGTATCGTCAACATATTTCGACATTCGTTTAAATAAACGAATGTCGAAATATGTCAGGACATGCAATAAACGAATAAACGAATTAAATAAACGAATGTCGAAATATGTCAGGACATGCAACCTTCTTATTAAAGAAGCATATTTTCTTAACCCTTGTTTATAGCGACGTCATGGCCTAGTGATTAAAGGCGCCTGGTTCTGTTTGCAGTTCGTGCAGTCACCGGGTTCGAATATAACAAAAGGATCCTCGCCCGTCAGATGCTTCGTGTGTGATGCGTCGTCATTCATACCTATACGCTGTTTATGCGTTGATTCCCATGAACTTGGGAGAATGTATAAGACCTTTGACCTTACTCTTTATAACCCTTTACAGAATAAGAAAGGTCATCTACTACTTTTCAAGCTTGGTCATCATTTTGTGGATTGAAATTTTCTTTGGCAAGTTTTTGCTATAATTTTTGCATCAGTAACTATGTTCCATACGAAAAATTAATTGGATTGAATTCCGAACCTATAAGAATTAAAACATGATATAAATAAATATAACCAAACCTCAAAACAGTGTAAACAGAGCGCACACAATTCAACGATGTGCTCGTGATTTTCGTTGATAAGTCTCAGGGATTCCTCAAAAAAATTATCCAAATAGTCTTCTACATCTTCGATTCTTTGTGGCAAAGGAGTTAATATATTTAATGATTATGATAAAAATGTAAAAGTGGAAGCAAATGAACCTCGATGGTGAAATTGCAACTTTTATGAAACGATTGCTGAAAATAAAATGGTGTCCAACAAAACTGACAAATTGAGCATGTTCAAATTTTAGTTGCACACAACACACGTTAAATAAATCAAATTACGACAAAATTAAGACACAAAGACACAAAACTGATGACACGAAACCACTGACTGATATCTTAGAAGCATTTGAAGCAGGAAAGATCTGACAACAGGTGTTGGATCAATGCAATTTTTTGCCATGTCCACAGTCATCAATAGTTCACTTTCAGGCATTTCGTTACCAGCACTACTATCACTACTATCCTCATTGATTTTCAATGAATGGCCATGAAGTGTCACATAGCCCATTAGCTTGGCTACTACTTGCGCACTCGGAGGAGTCCTGCCGGCAAAGCAGAGCTGGGACACTAGGGAGATGAGGAAGGCATTGACTCGCTGCTTGTACGACTCATAACATTGCACTTTTTTCCTGATAATGTGAAACAAATTAACAATCAAATCAAATTATTTCTTATTTTCATGTAAACTTTTCGCAATAAAATAATTTAAAAAATCTTTTTGAAGTCAATTTTTGACAATAATCCAAACATGACACAAGCGAGAATGAGAATTAGACAATGTAGAGTCGTTAATTTAGAGTTGATACTAATTGGCACTGAGGAAAAAGACATGTTTTTGTTATTTCAGAAAAAAATGATCATGCGACTTTTGGTAAATAATAAAAAATAATAAAAAAACTAATTTTAAAAATTGCAATTAAGAAAAGTTCTAACTTATCAACTTCGATGGGTTTTTTTTCTTCTTCGGTGAAAACGCTGTTACATACGCAGCATCGTCCGTGTTTATGGTTGATGATGATGAGGAAACATGGTTTGCAGTATCTGTGGCAGCATTTGCTCTGAATGGAGACTGTACCCTTGCTGCAGTGGCAACATTTCATGTCCAGCTGCTTCCTGTTGTTGTTGTTGAGTTGTAGTGCTACTGGTACATGTTTGTTGACAATTCTAAAAAATCTGCTATTATAAAGTGCGGTAGACAATTGCCATAAACGATTTACAATTACAAATATTTTTTATTTTATGAACAAATCCTTTAGATTAATAGTTTTAAATATTAATTTATTGATTAGTTTCAAAACAAAATAAAAAATCATTGTATTCAAATGTTATGCAATGCACCAACATTATCGGGCAGCTAAAAAGAATGTACAAAAGCAAGAAAGATGTTTTACGACATTCCAACTATTTAATTGCTAGCGATAACGTGATGTCTCAACAAACCAGACCAAAAGATCAAACAAATTCTTCCTTACTATCGTTCAACTTGCATAATAGTTCCATTTGAAAATATTTCACGTGATCTCTGCAGACTCTTGAATGGTTTCCACCATCAAATTCGTAAGTGCATGCAACTGCACGCTCATAAAACTCGACGCATGTATTTCATTTTTATCGAACTCATCATTTACAACAGCTGCCCATCAAGTCAGTCAGACGAAAAATTCATATAAGAGATAAGTACGAAATAACTGAACTAAACAGAATTTGAACTATGCACACACAATTTGGGCCAAGGTGAGCCTAATTATAGATTCATTGAGTTAAAGTATAATTTTTATTTAACATAAGCAGAAACATTAAAAAATAAATATTACAAAATTTAATTGTTAGTATACTGATTAATAAACCATTTAGCGCTGTGACGTCATTTCACAAATATCTAGGTAGGTACCTAGTGCTTTTTGGAACTCCTGTTTTGGAACTCCTGCTTTTTCAGTTGTTGAGTGATGGCACATTATAACTAACATACAGAACACAACAAATAATACAAAAAAAAAACTAACGAAAAACAACCTGCACCAATCAATGAAGAAAAAAATATAACTAAACGTTTACCCTAGGTGGCGTTTAATTGCTTTCGTATTGCAAAGCTCCAAATATTTTTCAACATTGTTCAACACTCGTACTTCTTTAAAATCCGGTTTGTCACCAAGGAACTAGAAATGTAAAAATTTATTAATTCATCACTGAAAACATTTCCCGCAATTATATTCGCCAATTAAAACATACATTCCACAAGAAATCAAGTCTTTCTACGTCAAAATTGTTTTCTTGAAAATTCTGACAAACGTTATTAAAAAAAAGTTTCATTGCCACAATTCTGTTCCATTTGAAGCTGAAATGTATTTCAATCTAATTGATATAAGAACTATTTACGATAAAAGGCTTGTAGAACCAACTGGAATTCATTCCCTGATATAATTTCCTCATCAACGAAGGACAATAACTTTTCAACAGTTGCGGCCAACCTTTCCACATCCTCCGTCCACTTTTTCATTTTCTGGAGATCATTGAATTGCTCTTTGCCAGGTAACAACACATCTGTGCAGTACCGTAAGCACACCACGTCCAATGCCTGCGGTGCAAGTTGAATATGCCATAAGTTCTGATCTGTTTTGTAAATGCTAAACATCCATATAATTTTTGTTATTTTAGAGAGCATTTTATCTTGACTAATCAAATAGTTGAAATAGTTCGTATATACAATACATAGGAAATTAACAAAAATAAAATAAATTCTCGTGGCAAATACACCAGCAGGTTACAAACAGACATTCAGCGTCTAAATGATAATAATAATAATAACAACAATAACAATAATAATAATAATATGCATAGTGTTCCGACCTCCGACTATATTTTTAAATTCATGGCACTTTGCAATTTTCTTACGTCATTTCATAAACAAAAAATTAGATTGAATGACCTGATAAGATATAAGAAATTCTTTCATTCTGTGTCAGTAATGTGATTGAAAATTTGTTTTTAAATCAGGATACTTAAATTTCTCAGTTGCATTTTTAATTATTTTCTTCTTCTATCTCAGATATTGTCAAAAAAAGGAACAAAAAATTATTTTTTTTCATTAACGTCCCCGCTACATTTTGACTTGGATATCAAATAAAATAAACCAAAGCAGCCACCAAGAAAAACTTATGTAGCAATGTTTGTTTATTCATCAAAATTTTAAAACCGATCGAGTTATTTCCAAAAATGCGTCAGTAATTTTTCAACAAAACGCTTCGACTACATTTTGACGTTGAATATCGATAATAAGAAAGCCAGAGCAAGCAACCAGGTGAAACTTGAGTAACAATAATACATGCTGTATATATGCTTTGTATATGGTTATGTATACATATGTTATAAACATGTTATATATGTATATGTTATATGTATATGCTATATGTTATATATATGCTATTACTAATATTCAACAGATTTTAAATCCTTAATTTAGAAATTTAAAACCGGAGACATTATAGGTTATATTTACAGGCAGAATAACGTTGAAACAGATGAAAATAAAAAAATAAAAATGAAAAAATGCTCACGTTGCGCTTGGAGAATGAATGGATAACTTGATGAATGGAAAGAGCGGCTTGAGGACAGGAAGTTAACAATTCAACGAACAACAAGTACCTCACGTGAACTTGTTCATGCACCACGTGAATGTTCACCAAACTGAACTTATTCTCAACGCATCCATCAGACATTAAGTCATCGGAAAATATCTGATTTCTTAAATCTTCCTTCACGACCTAGAGAAAACAATTCAGTCATTTGAAAAAAGTTAAAACACTCATCGCTATTTAAGTTAAAAACATTTTTATTATTTGACAAAGATTAAAAATGATACAGCAAAACCAAATAGGCATGTTTTTTAATACATTATACCTCAATCTGTTGAGAAATTGACTCTTTCATTTGTGACCTGTAGTTCATATAGACGAAATCATTCAAATATCTTTCGAACATATCTCTCTGGACGTCTTCATCACCTTCACATGTTTCCTTCACGAAATGTCCAATCTCAGAGTCACCAAATATTTCAATCAGTGAAATTGATCCTTTTAATAAATTTATAAATATACTTAAATTTCTATCAGATAACAGAAAAATATTCTAAAAAAAGCTCAAATTCTCCAAGCAAAATTTACGTCATTCTATCATAGAAAGTAACCAACTGTTCGAATGAGTCTTTCGCTGTACATTCAATAATTTATCAATTTGTTCTTTGATAAGCCATGAAAAAGGGAACATGGGGTTTAATTTGTTTCCATGGCAACCGCAGGTCTTCAGTTCAAAACTTGTCTTGTTGGATTTCTGTGTCACGGTCCGGATGTCACTGTGGTAGTAAAACAGTTCAAGAACAGTAGACTCATCAAATTAACGCTTGAATATATTTCGCACTATTTAACCAGTGCTGCTGCGATGAAGTTCATCATAAGATATCTCACCGTAAATAAATAAAAACTGATGTTGACCGGTCAGTAAGCAATAAAACACCAAACTCAAACGGCGAATTAAATGATATACACAAATTTGAGAGCCAACCTAAACTTTAGGTAAAGAAAGTTCTTATCAGCCAAAGCAAGATAGCAGAAATGTTTGATCCAGTGCATGTTGTCATCGTGGGCAAGCATTATGTTTAAATTCTGGTTGGTATCAAGAAGTGAGATGATGTAGGCAAGTACAGGTGTCACCTTGCACTCCAGGTATTCGACGAATGAACGACTGCCGAAAGAGTATTTAAAAATTAAAATACCAGAATATGAAAATGCATGTAAAAACATAGAAGCACAACTCTGAAAGAAGCACAACTCTGAAGGAATAACTTCGAATAAATCAATAATCTAATAATACAAAACGACTGTATGATTATACTTGAGAGTTCCAGAGTTACAAACGGCATTGAAAGCAGCCACATCATTTTGAATCCATATATTTGTGCTAAGCATGGAAGTTTCTTCACATTCTTTCAATAAACTTGATAGCCTTGCTCGAATCAAATCAAGCAAAGCCACTGAAAATTTTTAACAATTTCCAAGTTTCTCATCAATAAATAAATAAATAAATCGATCAACCAATCAATCAATCAACCAACCAATCAATCAATCAATCAACCAACCAATCAATCAATCAATCATGAACAACTTTGAATATTTTAATAGCATAATAGCAACATTACCCCCTCCGCTGATTGGCTGATGGAGATTATTCAACAAGAGGTCGATTAGTTCCGTTTTGCGGGATGCACCTCCGAGGCTTCCACTCGACCTGCTGCTGACCTGCGTCTCCAGCATGGCGATGGCTGCGTGCACGCAGTTTTTAATCAGTTCGTTCGCCTCACTTTGGCACCACGTTGATTTGCTTTCATTGGCCGGGACGAACTTCAACGAAGGTTTGGCTGGTTGTTCTGGAAAGAAAGTTCCAACAGACGGAAATTCTTCGGTTGAAAACTTGAATGCACCTGTTCAGGCGTTTGTTTCACTATGTTAGGAGATAATGTAAGCAAACAAACAAACTCGTGATGAAATTTCAAAGTGACTCACCATTTTCAGGAACCACTTCAATGCTTTCTACTTGATGATCGCCGTCGTTCATGTTTACGTCATCCTTGTTTTCATCATCTTTACTTAAAATTAAAAATTTGCCGCCGTTAACATCACGATCGGAACTTTCCTGCTCGTTATCAATGGATATTTCTTCTTCATCCCCGCAAATTTTGCTTGCGCCCGGTCGTTCGAATGACAACTCACCGAACTCAAACAGCGAACTGACTGTTTTGTCCCGCAACTCGATCATGTTTTCAATTACGTTGTTCTTGGGTAGTAAGTCATCAATATGATAGGACATCCATCTACCACCCTGTACGTTAATTTGTTGATTGTTTAAGAAGTCTCGAATAAATTGCAATGAAAAAATTTCATAAATCTAGATGGATTTTAGAAATGCTTCAAAATAAGAAAAAAAGCAACCTGCAATCCAACAAAGCATCCGCCGACAATCCTTGGTAGCTGAATGATGAACAGGACATGTTTCGCCGCTCCATTCATTTTCATTCCTCTGCTGTCCTCGTTGTCAGCAGCCACGTCACCAACACCGCTGTTCAGCTGCTTCCTGGAAAGACAGTAGTTAGCGTACTCATTGGAAATGTTGTACCTCGTGCAGGCTATCAGTTGGGAGTGCTGATCACCAGAGTCGCATTGAACTATTAAAATTTCACGCCGCAACTTTGCCTTATCTTTCGCAACGTCATCATCACTGAAGAAGTCTCTGGAAGGTGAGGCGAGTAATTAAATGAGAATCAATCAAACAAATCTTGCATAATTTGGTCCAATCATCGATGCAACGCAAGAGATTAGTTGGTGATATATTACGATCTTCTCCGGGCAAAAATGTGTAACAAAACAAACCGTAGTTCTCTACAGAACTGATGCTCGGTTCCTATTGACTGTAGAGACAAAAGTTGAATGGAATTGTTTGGCAGATTCAAAGACTTGCAGAGATCCGATGTTTCCCGCTTCAACAACAGACGTGAGTGGGTGGTTATCTGATCAATTTATAACAAACAAAGTAAAATACTAACCTTTTCAATTTTAGGAAAATCAAACAAATCAGAGCTGTGAAATATAAAAAAAATAAAATATAAAAAATACAATTAATAACATACTTGAACAAAAATACATCCATCAGAATCATTTTCGCAGTAACAATTTTCGTCCGTCTCATCTGTAGTATCATCATTCATCTTCTTTTCCTCGATTAACACTCCCTGAATGAAATCTTTCAAAGACAAGTGGAATTGTTGCTTGAAGTAGCAGTTGAAGTACTGCTCTTGGTCAAATGATAACTTTGAGTTCTTCAATCGAAACAGTGACTCAGGGGTGGCGCACTGCAGCATAACTCTCTTACATCTCGACAACATCTGAAACAACAGGGCATTTTCACGAGTCAATAAAAATGGTCAAAATTTATTATTATTTATTAATAATTTATAATTAATCAAAACAGAAAAAAAACAAAATATTAACGACAAAATGACCTCCGTTTCATTTAGAATGCTGCTTTTGTTGTTCTTGCAAATTTGAATGACCACTGAGGCAGGCGCGTCTGCGTGGTAGCCAATGATCGCATCCTCAATTAATGGCTGCTGGCTGAAGTTACGTTTATAGAGGGTAAATATTTTTATTTTTCAAGGTATATTTTATTTCGAAAATGTTTGAAAAAATTTTCAGATATATGTGAAAAATAACTTAAACTAATTGTACACGTAGTTATAATACTAGAAAAGATTTGAAATTAATGCTTATAACTTACCTTTTTTTGGATCTATAACAGAATCCAGTTTGAGTGGCAAAATCGAAAGCCCACGATTTCAACTTGCTGGCCACGGAAGCCTGACTGCTTGTGAGCAGGCTGCTTGTTGCTAAGTAGTGCTTCTCAAGTCGATTGATCAGTGGTATGGGAAATTTGTTATATACCACTTGCTTTTCCGCTACGACTATCAATCTGGTAACGCATTCATTGACTGTAATTAAAAACTAATTACAAAATTATCCAATCAAAAATGAAAATGTTAATTTAGATGCGACGTTGTCTGCTTAGAAATGAAGTATTCAATAAAAATTCGTATCGTTGAACAATGAAATGTTTAAAGAGAAGACCTGAACGATTCATGCACTCTGCATTTCACTCTTTGAGTCCCCAGTCCCAAATCAACAAACCTCTGATCACCAAACTTTATGTAGTACTGTTGGAATATTTATTGTCAATTAGCGACACTTGTTCATTTTTGCCAAAATTTTCTTTTAATAATTTCCGTTTTTATTATTTGTATATTTTCTGTAGCCCATCAAACAACAAGCACAGCTTTGAACTCACCAGCTTATAATGTTAACAAAGGCAGACAGACAGACAAACAGACAGAGACAAATTGACGCAGGAACGAACAAAGGAAATTGTACCTGGTTGAGAGCATCGTAGAGACTTTCATAGAGACTTTCCAGATTCAGGAGAACGACCGTTCTGCCTGTTTCCATGCAGACTTTTATTCGATTGATATTTCTACAAACCTGAATTTACGTTTGGAACAGTAAATAGCAATAACAACTGTTACGTGCATAATAATTTATAAAAAAATCACTACAAAATTTTGACGGATATTGTTGCATTTTAAGGAGGAAGTAAATAAGAACGATCTACCTGGGTGTATTCTTGATCTTTTGGGAAACTACTTCCAAAGATGATGATGGCGTCCTTGATTTGTAGCAGGTCATGCTGCAGCAGGTGCAGGGCTGCATAGTTGTCCGTCAGGATTAACAGGTACCTACTCTCGCTGCACAATTTGCATTTCAAATTTCTTTAACCAGAATTTAATTGGGATATTTATTATATCAGAATTTAAATGCTGGAGAACAGTAAAATTTTAGAAATAAGCCACAATTAGCTAACAAATCTTTACAATCTTCCTGCAAACTCTGTCTGATGAGATGAGCTGGGCTATGATCACTGTCAGATGATTCCGTCTGGAAACAAGTTAATCCCTTTTTACACAAATGTGAAGCAGCAGTTTTTTTTTATTTTCACCCACTTAATTTACTATCTTCACACAGTTTTTGAGCAAAATACAAATGACCAAGACATGCTACTGATAAACATGCTCCTGTCGTATTTTGCCGCATGTTTAAAAATTTTGAAGTCAGTTTAATGTGGCCAAGTTAAACATTATTTTCATAAATAAACAAAAGTAATGATTATAACAAAATCATTAACTTTTAAACAATCCCACGCTAATATTAGACAGGACCAGTTTTTATTACTACATTTTTCATCTAAATTGCAAATACCAATTTTCAACCAAAAAAGATGAATCATTTAATTTTAGAAGAGAGGCGAATTGCAAGCTAGGATGAAATCAGGAGAGGAGCAACTAACATCGGTTGTGTCGATGACGTGTGACAGATGTCCTTTGAAGACATCCAGTGGTTGGACGGCATCAAGTCCTCCAAAGTTCCTCATGATGGCAGTCTTCAGCTGACCCCACGTCGGAGTGTCATCCTGCTTCTCCGCCATGAAACAAACCATCTTCACCAAACTTTTTGCAAAGTAGACATTTTTGTAAAATATTATTAATTAAAATTAATAATTATAAAGACTTTTTCATAAACTATAAAACTAACAAAATGATTTTAAAACGACGTTACCTGTAGAAATCTCTCAGTCCAAAAAATTCGTTATGAAGTGTGGATTGGTAAAGTTCGAAGTAACCCTCAGCGAGGGGTTCCAATAACTTGTTGCATTTCAATCCAACGTTGTAGTCGGCATTGCATATCCCTCTGGTTCGTATCAACGAGGTCAAAGTCAACGATAAGAATATTACTAAATGCGCGTTTTTCAATTGCAAACATATTTTTCAGACAATGACATTCTACCACGTCTTTCAAACAAATTAGATATGTGACAAAAAATATTAATTATACAAGAGATTGCTTTATTAAAAGTATTGTTATGAGAATAGGAAGATACTTGGCACTGAGCAGAAGTTCTTGATGGCTAGGAATACCTCTCTGAACCAGGATGCCCCTATTCATCTTAGCAGGATCGAGTGCCCAGTTGGAAATGCCAATGAAGGAAACTTTTTTGTAGGGTTCAGGTTTTTCATCGCCTTCACATCCGTCTTCAAGCAATGGATGGAGGGTCTGCAAATGATTTTCAGTTGAAAAAAAATATCGAGTCAAGATAAAGTTTGAATAGTTAAGGAAAAATTTCACTAAAACGTTTTAAGTTTGACAAAATAAGTCAACTGCCAACCGTATGCAATAAAATATGCACGAATAAGAACAAAGTAAAGATTAATAACAAAAAAAAATTAAAATAAATTAAATTCAAACTATCCAAACTGATTTTAAACATAATTTTAAGCAAAAGAGTTGAATGATATAAGATACTTTAAGAGGCATTCTGTCTGAATCTTCGGCGAGGCCAACCTCATCAAGGACAACCACAGAAACAAACTTCTCAAGGTCTTTATCTTTCTGCAGTCTGGCACATTGGCCAAATGTTCCAACTATGCCGTCTGGGGTTGACAGTGGACTGCACTGGTACGACACCATGTGTGCCTTCAATATTCATTAATAACTTCACTTTTGTAGGAATCCAATAAATATCATTCTTAGCTGATTCATATAAAACTTTCAATGAGAAGCATGGTTAAGTCATTTATAACTAAAATTTTCTTTATATTTTATTTGTTATAAAATTGTGTTAATTCGTATTTATCTTTTTTAATTAAATTGGATTAGCGCATGCATTGTTTAATTTTTGTGCTACAATTTCGAAGTTTTTGCTTTTCATGTATATTTGTATTCTTAAAAGAAAAGATTTGCCACAGCTGATTTTTTAAAATGGAAGTACAATAACCAATTCTACTACCTCTACTACTACTACTACTACTACTACTACTACTACTACTACTACTACTACTACTACTACTACTACTACTACTACCACCACCACCACCACTACTACTACCACTACCACTACTATTACAACAAAAACAACAACAACAACAACGACAACAAAAACAACAACAACAACAACGACAACAACAACGACAACAACAACAACAACAACAACAACTACAACTACTACTACTACTACTACTAACAATAATAATAATAATGGTAAATATATATTTGCATTAAGAAAAAAATGAAACCATCGAAACGACATTTCTAAATCATTTTGCTCATATAAGTCCACATTTTCAAGCTCAACTCACCGATTTAAAAGATTTAAACAAATCCGATTTCGACTGGTTGCCTTGCATGACATCTGCAACGATAGTCTTTGCCAGAGATTTAGAACTGCCAGGTTTGCCAACGAGGAAGAGAGGAATCCTCAATTCAATGCAGACCACCATCATGAACAAGTTCTCCTTCAGAGCCTGGTTCCTCGCAATGTTGCTCGCCAAATCGATCTCGTTGAGGAAAACGTCCTGGCAGCTGATCAACAATCAAATATTTTTTTCATTTAAACTGATTGTTCTGCGGTCAAAAATAAAGAACGCTGACGAATAAAATTATATTTAGTGAAAAATTTGTATTAAACTTGCTCGTGGTAAAATTTACATTGGTAATGACTGGAACAGCGAAAACGTTGAAACAGGCGTGGAAGCAAGTATGGCTTCAATAACTACAGAAGAAAATAACAAACCAATTGATTGAACAGTAAAAATAGATTACGTGTCAATTTCTTCGAAGATCTTCTCAGCAGTTCCATTTTCAGCACAAAGGTCCTGAAAATATGGAGCAATAAACTCCAAATATTCCTTCCTTTTTTCAAGACAGACGTAATAGCAGACACCCAAGGCCAACATGAGAGATCGAGGAACTGCGTTCAACACCTGCACGAAATTTCAGCCAAATTAAAAAGGTTCATGAAGGAGGTCACGATCACACAAAAAAATGAATTAGAAATCACTAACATAACAAATTTTGGTTTCGTCCTTATCTGTAAAATTACATTAAAATTGTTTTCATTTTATCATCATCATCATCATTCTCATCATTTATCATGTCATCGTCATTAACATCGTCCAAGTTTAAAGTGTCAATGCACATTTCCAAATCATCAGAGTACAAAATGACGTCTACAGAGTTAATTAGAGTCATTCTTCTGACTCATTTCTTATTGTCATTCTTCTGATTCATTTCTTATTGCCATTCTTCTGATTCATATCTTATTGTCTTATTAGTCGTACATAGACGTGTTAAACAAACGCGTTAGCAATTAATAATACATTTTTTACTTGAAATTTTTAAAATTTTAAAATTGAATTTGATTCAGATATATTTGATGAACCATCTTTCGAATAAAAACCATATCATCACGCTTTATACAATTTTAAATTAATTTTGCAGGATTACAGCAAATATGACAGAAACTGAAATTGAAACTGATAAAAAATAAATAAACTGAAGCCAACCTTCAGCTTGGTTTAACTTTGACATATCATCGAGCTTCTTTTTTTCATTCAGTCTTTCCTGGACAAGGCCATTCATCCTTTCAAAAATATTCTCATGACTGAGGAACCAGATGAAAACCTGGAGACAACGGCCAACATCCCTGAGACTAACGAAACTGCATTCATCCTGCTGCTGTCGCATGAACGCTTGAGAGGCCGTCAGAATGTCACTTATTTTGGCAATGATGTACGAATTCATATTCACCTTATACTCGTTGAACTGAATTTGTGAGACATCCGTTGAAAAAGCAATAAATATTACAACCATTAAAAAATTAATTTGAAAAACTGCAGATGGAAAAGAACTGCAAACGTCCAATAACAAGCAAAAAACTTAAGTGAGACATGATCAAAAGCAAAGTTTCAAAATGAATAAACTGAATTACAACAAATGAATGAGAGAAAGTGAGGATTACATAACGTTGGACCATCTGGACAATGTAAATTTTTTCGACTCGTGAACTCAACTGGCCAAAATCCCAAACGAGAGGAAGCAAGCTTGCTGGCAGGGACTTCACCCTGTACACCAGCTGTCTCATTGGCAAGTGACCTGTCAGTGCATGCAGCATGAAACCATAGTAGAAGTAAAATATCAATATAATAATATTATAAAAAAAAATCAAATAAACAATTCAATGGATGAAAAAATAATGTTGGATATACTGACCCAGCCTGTCAGTTGTTTGATCAGCCTGCACATGGTAGCCGAGACCTGCCTTCTCTAATCTTTTGATCATCATGTCTGAATGTCTGATGAGTTCAATTGAACAAATAATCATCATCGTGTCTGAATAGTTTGATCAAAAGGATTGTTGGAAAAGACTTTTTTAACCTATACAAACTTGAATGTTACATGCACTACTCACGTATACAAATATACTACTACATACAAACGCCGACAAATACTGAGCAATAAACATCTTCTTAAATATTATGAACAAAACAAAATAATTATTTTTAGTTGCATAACATATTTTGGATAATACCGGTTTTCCAAGATTTTCCAAAATTTTAGATCTTAAAAATAATTTGATATTTTGATCGATGAGCGTACTTTCTGTATGGATTGCAGGCAGCCACGAACTTCAGGCTGTAAATGTGGTTGAGAGGCATTCCATTGACTCTTCTGTCACACATGATCTCCTTGATGAGTCCGATGCATTCTGTCGTGTTGGCCTCGTCAAAAAACAACACCGTCTCCGTGCCTTCAACAACAAAAAAGTATATTGATGATTTATTTTATAACTAATATGACGTGTCTCAGTTATATGCTAAAATTATCTAGTTGACTATTTTTTATGAAATATAAAAACTTTGAACCACTTTATTGAGACGTAGTTAAATCGTTTGAAACTGAGTTGATGATTTCTGATGGAAGTAGTACCATGCGCTCTTGTTGTACCAACCGACTTGCTTCAAACACCGTTCGTTCGAATTAAAATTTTCACAAATCTCGTGCGTTCGTTCGCTTGATTCATTAATTGTTCACAGGCACACTTGAATGTGAATGTATGCCGTGAGGTGTGAGCGGTACAGCATTTGCGCCTCTAAAGTTTAATTGCAGACAGTTGAATAAGGAGCAATTTGTGAGCAGCCTTGTAAGTTGAAAGATAAGGCAAATGTGTAAAAAAAATAATAGACATCTGTGGTTAATGTACGTTACCAGGATAGGCCGCAGCTGTCCGTTGAGCCTCAATTGATGAGGTTGTTACTTTCCTGATGATCTGTTCTGAAGTCGTGCCACCATGTACCTGAGGTTAGTACAATAAAGTTTTGTAATTTGTAAAACCCCGTAGATAATAAAAACAATAATGGAAGTATAAAAATTAAGAGATTAATTAAGTATAAAAAAAATTAATTAGACATTTATAATAATGTGTTTACATTGTAAAAGTTGTCTATGTATTTAAAATGCCTCTGCGATAAAAATGACACAAAGCAAGAATATTTCAATAAGCTTCGTTTTTTTTTTATCTTTATTATTGCAGCTCTGACATACGCAGAACCACCTACAATGTTACAGATATATTATCTATATATCTTTATTATGTTCTTCATATCTTCAACCAATGATATGAAGCAGCATCTTCGCCACAAAGGCTGTTTATCCTTTTCACACGACGTACACATGTATTTATGTGCACGCGCAAGCACCGCATCATATACGCTGAGTATATGATAGCCATTGAGATGTTTGACTCAGCGCGCATTTGAACCACTGAGCCATTTCGCCGGCCAACATGCGACAACTTACGTCGTCTACCCATTTACCAACCTCGAAAGGATGGACAGCCGGATGAACCTGTAGAAACTGCAGAATTCGAACCCAGGTCGTGGGAGTGGTAGACAGACACGCTAACCACTCGGCCACGAGACCACATTTGTTGAAATTCCATCAATGAAAAGTAAAAAAAGACAAATTAAGATGAAGAAAGACCTTCATAAGAATCATGTTGTTGACATCGACACCAGGTGGCTTCAGGAAATCGCAGAGGAACTTGATCAGTCTCGTCTTGCCGCAACCTGTTTCGCCCATCACAATGACTGGAATGTTGCACCTGGATTGAATTGCAACATCTCTCTATCATTCTTACATGTATGCATATGAAGATTAATTAATGAAGTTAAAAAAAAGTAAATAAAGTTCTGAGCCATGATTAATTATTAAAAAAAAAGTTGTAAATACATTACTTAAATAAATACATTACATAAATAAATAATTAAATACATTACATTAAATACATTAAATGCAGATGTAAATACATTACTTGAATCGCATGTATATTGCCATGAGCTTTTTGACATTATCAGCTGTCAATTCGAACGTGTTATCCGGATCGTGCATGTACTCCTTCCCCATCACCAAACACATCTTCTGCAACTTCTCCATCCTGCGCAATAATATCCAAATATAAGTGACGCCAAAATAACTTCGAAGGTTGAATTGGGCTTTAGAAAATTTAAAAATTATAAAATTTGTGAACAACGTGCTTCAAAATTTTTACGGTTTGTCTTCATGTATAGATTTATTACAGCTGAGCGAGTATAAACTTTTGCAACAATTCTGTACACATTAGGCTAGGGTTCTATCGAAAGTAAGTTTTATAGACATGTATGTATATCCTAGTAACAGTATTGTGTTAATGTTACCAAAGTCAGCTATCATAACAGTTTATTTATTATTAATCTTCAATAAAATAACTCCATTAAATATTAGCTCATAAGTTCAACAACATTCGCTTATTTCAGCACAGTTTCTTGTTTCGTTTTTCACAATTAACTCTTGAATTAATTCTCAAAGGCATGACATAAACGCATGCATGAACATGCGTGAACTAGTGCATCACACACGTGGCATATAAATCTTCGTAACATAGAACCAGGCGTCTTTTACCATTACTACACAATGACGCCACGATAAACGACAAACAATAAGCAACGATAAAAACTGTATAAATAGAAAAAAGAATATAAATATAAATATAAAACCTATTTAGATTATCGAAGTTTTCATTAAGGTTCACCCTGTTCCTTGCCAGAGCTTGGTAGAGAGGTAGTGATACAGCCTGCTCCATTAAAACTTTCCCTGTTACAGGTTCAATGACGTCACCATTTTTGGGGTTGACTATAAAGCCCATGAAAGTGAACGAGTGGTTGTCGTAGTTGAAGAAGAGGTAAGGATGGGAACTGTTTCCGGAGTATACAATATCGAATTCAACATGAAAATCGTTCGGTGAAACATTGATTAACATAAATAGCAAGAAAGTGTCTTGCTTTATCATGAGATGGCATCAATAAGCAGTGGTATACTAAATGATTCAAGTTTATTCAACTGATTCATTTACAAAATTTTTAACACTTCGAACCTGGAATACCTCAGTAAGCAATAAAGCGTGCAGCATATGAAGATGCACCTTTCAATTTACTTTATAACTAATCATGCTCAGATTGCATAGTTTTTGAGTTTGATATTGAAAGCTTTCAGTTGATGATTTTAAAACTAGCGTTGAACGGTGGCCTCTACCTTTAACAACTAACAGTTCATTTAAAAACTAAAATCAACAAATTAAATAATTGCGTTTCTCAAAAAATTAAGATTTTTTATAGGGAGGTCCAGGGGTTGTTAAATTGAAATGAGAAAAACTATAAAATAAACTTTTACTAGATAAAATGACGCTCATATAATTTAAATCGGTTGACAAACAGCACGAAAATGCATTTCAGTGAAGACGCCATGAATAAAGTTCGGATGTAAAAATTAGATATTTAAAAATAACCAATGTTTTTAAAAACAACAATCGTACATTACATTTTATCATTAATATAATGAGCAATCTTTTTGAAAGAATATGAAAGTGATGAGAACGTACCTGGTTTCCCATGTTCTTTTCATTCCGTAGTAGTCCAAAATATTTATAGATGTGCCGCTCTGTCGGTTGAAATATTTCAAAATTATGAATCATAAGTAACTGTTGAAAATGTTACATTGCTTTAATTGAATAAAGGTGATCTGAAAATTGGAGAATGGAATGAAATAAATTTACGTCAGCTTCATCCAAGACTTCAGGTGACTCTTCAGATATTTTCAAGGACCTGGTTGCGAAGTCCTGCACGATACATAGGAAACAATCACTCAATTCTTGTCAATCACTCGATGTTGAAGTTGCTCGCTGCTACTCATTCAATGCACAAAATAATGATACAAACAAAACATCATTCCATAAATATTTCATACTATTTCTTTTCATATAAAAAAAAATAATAAAAGATTTAGCCGAACCCTGGACATGCTGATGACAAAATTGACAACGTAATTAAAAAATCCTGGCATGTCCTGAGCCATGACTGGATGACAGAATGAAGATTTTTCACTCAAGGATAGCTGGTAATTGAGGAACTGAGCAAAATATTTCAATTCTGACCACGAGGGATCCTGAACGCTGCAAAAACTGCAAACAAAACAAAAAATAAAAACAAATATTTATATAAGAAATAAAGCAATGCTGAAGAGTAGAAAACAACATTAATGAAATTTAATCTTGAACTCAGTTCCATGTTTGAATAAATTCTTAGCTATTGTTAATAAAACTCATCATCATCATCATCATTGGAGGCTAACAATAAAATTATTTGAAATGCAGACCTCATCATCAAAGTGATGCACTCGGATATGTTTGCAGTCTTCTTCTTCTTATCGTAATGAGCAAGAGGAACGTTGGAAGAAATTGCATGGAGGTAATGGCAAGGACGCTGAAATGTATCACTGGCGAGTTCTTCTGCATCCATCAACTGATCAATTTCCTGATACTTGGCTCCCTTGTGTCGAGGTACGGCTTTAATTGGGAACGATATTTTGCAGAATAAATGATTTAAATCGTACGAGCAATTAGTTTTTGAAAAGTAAAATGAGCACTGACATAAGTTTTTGCTTTGGATGATATTCAAGCAGTCGGCAGGCGACCAGCAGGTCAGTGAAGGAAGCAGGTAGAAAACTTGGTGAAGATATTGAAGAGACGTATTTTTCCCATCCTGAAAAATCAAATACGATCAACGACATCATAAATAATTGCACCATGAATGACGTCCCACAAACGAGCGAGCAACCTTATTAGAAGTGGCCATCTTGATTAGGAGCGGCATGCTTTCGACGAGATAAAAGTCCCTTGCAGACCTACTCCACATGTAGCCATTGCTGTCTGCCGCACTGCCTAGTACGAGCAAGTTGAAGAGCAAGTGATCCACTCCCTCCGTCACCTGACACATTTCGAGGAAGTATTCAAATAAATATTCTTTCGCACAGCAAGAAGAAAATCGTCATGGTCTAGCTCAATCTAAAACAGTGTCAACGTCTGTTATATTTATATTAACCTCTCTTGAGACATCCAAGTGATATATCCTGGGGTCGTCGTTATATTTACTTAATCTGAGTAACCTGATGACCGACGTATCGTCAACGACCCGACTGTGCAAAGGTACGCTACACAAACACCAATCTTTATCATCTACATTCATTTTTAATTTATTTTGCAACTCTTCAACAAATCTTTTTACTCGCAACGTTTTTCCGACGCCAGCCCTGTGAGATTTGATCATTCTTACGCACACCCTGAAAGCATTATAAACAAAATAAAAAATAATTGCGTTATTCTGAAGTTTATCTTATTAATATTAATTTATATACAAATTTAAGAAGTAATTAAAAAAAAATTCAGAAAATTCGAAATTTGATTACTTCAATCAAAGAATATAATATATTTAAAAAAACTGAAAGAGGTTGCCTTTCTGTATCAAGAGAGGCGGCTGAAAGATCATCCTTGCATGTCAAATGATGTTTAACATACTTCTGTACTTGCTCTATATCAAGGTGAGGACATTTCACTTTGAACTGCTCAAAGACATTAATCAAGTGGGATTTCTCACTTTTGTTCGAGCTACACACTATAACAAACTTAACATCTGAAAAAATAAACGATGCCTAAGATTGAAACAATTTCATTCATATAAACTTGTGTATATGAAAATTAAGTAGAAAACACACTTTTAACTGGATTTATATGGATTTTGAGCGATTTTTCAACTTCCGAAGCCACATCATAATCCAAGAGTTCTGCATGCACCAGACAGTAGATCCTTCCAGATTCGTCCTTCATCGCTCTCAACCAAAGCAACTTGATCTGAATAAAGAAATAAAAAACAAACGAATATGACATGCATTGAATATACTAACAACTCAAACTCTACAAACAACAGCTTTTTTGTTAGGAATGAACATTTGTGAATTATTTACTTCAAACGTACGTTTGTACGTTGAATTAGATAATTGTATTATTCAAACTTTCTCATCTAAATTTCGCCGTTTTTTCATGAATACGGCTGCCTACAGCATTGAATTCTTCTTTCTTTAGCTATAAAAGGATCCTTCTTCATTACTCAGACTCTAAATTGATTTCTTTTCTGCTCCGTTTAAATTACATTAAAGTGGAAACCACCTGTCCTTCAACAACTTTCTTATCCCAGAATTCTCAATCTGGCAAGTTTAAATCACTGAAATCATATGTGTTTGACAGTAAATTGGATATGGAGTTTACATATACGTTTGTTGATATTTGACTATCCCTGATAACAACGATCCAATCCATCAACGCGTCTCTATTTCATACCAGCTCCTCACCGTCTAAATTTTATTGTAAAACTTGGAGTTTGCTTCCTTGGTAGACTGGATAAAATAACAACCTTAATGTATTAATTCTTGTAAACCAGATCGCAATATTTGTAGAAAAATATTGTTCATGAGGTTAAACGAAAATTTATTAATATTGTACTATACTTTTTAATATTAATATTGTACTATACTATACTGATTTCTATATTGAGCGACTATACTTAGATTTTTATATCGAGCGCTTAGTTTGAGCGCAAATTCATTTGAGCAATCGATTATTTGTGAAACCGAAAAACTTAATTAAATTGAATTAAATTAATTTTCTCCGTAAGTCAGAAAAATATCGCAAATTTAAAATTTTCAGTCAGCGAAATAAGTTACTTCTTCAAAGGTAGTTGTGGAATTGCAGAGAAGCACTTCATCTCTTTTTGGAGGAGGCAGTTTGAAGCCAGCATCCATGTAAAGCGTCAGCACGGTAGGCAAGACATCAACTGATGTTAAACATAATAAAACAAGAAATTCATATTCACCCTATTCATTCATCAACAGATAATGGCAACACAACGGCATAAAAATTATCAGTAATAAGAGCAGAGATGAATTAGTTATTATTAGTTTACTTCTCAATATTATTTTTTAGAGACCAACATGAATTAACACAATTTTGCTTAGAAGATGAAAATAATCATTGAAATAATACATCTTGAATTATGGCTAAGTAGACGACAGCTCACCCAACCCAACAAAATGGGACTTAGCATTCTAACTTGAGTCATCCTCTAGCCTTAAATCTAGCCTGCAATAAAGTGAACACAAAATATAAGCGAACAGTTGGAATCATTCCCCCTTCATAGACACTTTATAGTGTTATAAATTGCTATGACAATAAACATGACTGCATGATCATAATATCAAGGAACAATAAAGTTAATCGTTAATAATGTAAAATAATAGAAAATAAAATGATTGGTAAACTTCTGCTTCCTAACATGGCTTATGTAAATTAGGTTTTTCTGAAATGTGACAATGACTGTGCTGATAACATTAACTAATGTTCTTACTGCAACAACAACAACAACACACGTTTAGACGACATTTTCCCCGAGATCGGGGGTTGCCGTTTGGCTACCTATGATGAAACTGAAATACCCCTCGACGCCATTCTGCCGGATACTGAGGGCCATTGTCACTTCTGTCATCATAAGTAATTTATTTGGCTAATTTTTACGCAGGACGCCCTTCCTTACGCAACCACAGTTATAAGCGGTGGGCCTAGCCTTTGATGATCCAACATCACTCACAAGGCAGTGAGGGTCAGTTTAATGTCATAACCAGGACAGTAACTAATGTTCTTACTACTACTGAAAAAAAAAGAAAATGGTTTTAAGAATGTTTCGATGTTATTTTTATACCCTTAATAATGATTAATTTATTTATTTGAGCTTACTTTTAGTTCCGCATAAATTGTAACTTTTAATAAAAAATTACTTTCAATTTTTAAAACAGGATTTTTTAACAATATTTATTAAAATTGATCTTCAGAGCTAGTTCACTGATAGTGCCACGTAATTATTTTCGCTTGATTACTTAGATTAAAAATCAAAGAACGTTGAAAAATGCATGAAGAATCATAAAATGTTACCTTCATCGCACACTATCAAGTTAGGCAGACCCACCTTCAACTCTCTGGGACATGGCCTCTTCATCTCACTTGAATCAACTAAAATATAAAAAAATTAACAGTTTTTAACTGCTTACCAGATAAAAATCATCAACCTCAGCAAATGCATAATTTCTTCCATACCTTCACATGCATATTTAATCAAGAAGAAATTCCAACTAACTGCCAATTTTGGCAATTTCCGCCAGAACGGCACCAAGTTGTTGAATGCTCAGGTGATCAGAATAACTGCTATCAATTGCTTTTAAAAATATCTCCCACAATGATTTGAAATTTTTCTCCAGTTGGCTGTTTGCAAAAATTAAAATTCATCGCAGTTACAACCTATCCAATACAGATGTTCTCAGCTCAATTCATGATGGGCCGTAAAATTGAAATAAACTGAAACCTGCTTAAAGATGGGTTCCTGAAGAAATCACTCATAAATGATTTGACGCTAGTTGTCTGCATCTTGTTCTTTTCTGAATTAGCACCATCACCTTTCGAATTCATCACTTTGTTGTTGTCTTCATCTTTTTTTTCGTTGTCAGAACTATTTGCGCCTTTCAAATCAATGTTTGGATCAGAAGATTTTTTCGTTGAGTTTGAATTTTCGCCGGGACCTCGTTTATCATTTGTTACACTGTCTTTCATCACTCCAGTCTCACAATCATATCGGTTTTTATAATCTGCCAGCCAAAACAGTCCTAGGAATAAGAAAATGAGCAAAAAATTTGGAATTCGATACTGGAATATTTTTTCACTGAAATATATTAATGTTCAGTTAAATCAACACAAAAATTTCCTGACTAGAAAACTTATGTGTAAAGTTTTACACTGAAAAAAACACGAAAACAATAAAGTAGTGTTTCTGAACAATCAATTAGTTGTGTTTAAACGAAATTATTACATCTCTAGAAAAAACTCAAAAAAATTTTCAGTTAAATAAATCATTTCAAAAATATCTGAGTTAAAAAAAATCTTGAAGATGGAATTGAAATGACCTTGATTGCTGTCTTCGTAACCTACATGCTTCACGGCTTCATTGATTAATTCCAATGGAAATCCTAAACATGTCATCTTTTCAATGAAAACTTTCTTTCTTTCTTTTGCCACATTATTATCATCATCATTATCCTTTTTGTCATTTTCGCCAGCATCATCTTCACTTTCATCTCCACTGTTCTCCTCGCTTCCAACCTCTTCAGTCCGTTCATCCGAACGGTTGCCATCTTCACTGTGTTCCTGTGTGGACAGGTTGGCTTCATCTTCGGGCTTATTTTTATTGGAAACTATAACAGCATAATTAACGTCAGCTGTTCCACAGTCAATTTTGAGCAAACTCAAAAGATGGCAGCAGTTATCTGGTGGTTGATCCTTTTTCTGCTTTACAAATTTTTCTTCGTTCATGAAACATTTCCAAATGACGGCAAGCTCTCGTTGCAAAATCACCAACTGTTTGGTCGTGTAATAATTTAAATAATGGCATTTATCTCGTTTATTTTCTATGTAGCTGAGCCAATCTTTCAAAAATGTGTCCATTAAATCGGAGACCTCTTCAATCTTGTCGAGGACCTTCTCATTTGAGCCAGGACTCCTCAAGTTTTTCAGGAAGTTAAGTTCGTTCTCGTCTTTCCCAAACTCAATAATAACATTTTCTTCAATGGAAGGATCGCAGAAGAAAATAATTTTCCAATTTTTAAATAGACTGCAGCCAGCTCTCAACAGATCAATATAAACATTCGCTAACCTCATGACACCATCAAATGCCTGAAATGCAAAAATTAACGCGAACCAAAATTAATAGCCACATGGACGAAAGATGCAAATAAATAACGATTTCAAATCAACGTGACTAAAAAATGAGCACATGTAAGAGTCCAAACCCGAACGAAATTGTGAACGGTGTCCTTTTTTTCCTGGGCTTTGCCAGCCACCAGCATCAATTTGCTCTGCAAGTCACACAACTGTTTCATGTCAAACTTCTTATGGATGTTTTTCTCATCCATTTTGTTTCTTTCGACATAATATGATAATTCAATGACATTTTCAACATCCTGCAATTATTTTTGAAAAAAATCGCAATAAAAATAATATTGTTGACAAATAATAATCATATTTTTCTTTCAAACCAGTTGGAATGTATTTTGAAAGTAAATTATTTGGTGAACATTTAAAAATTAACCTAAATATTGCTAAATTTCAAGAACTTATTTATCGATACGCTGATTTTAACTTCATACAAATCAAACAATTAAATGCGTTAATGGCTGGCGGCGAGATGGTGTAATGATTAAGGCGTCTGGTCCTGCTGTTGTAGTAGCTGGGCTCAAATGAAAAGAAATCTCCACCTTGATGCACGGAGAACTCACGCATATTCACATATCAGCTCTACAATTGAGTTGTTTATAGTTCTGAGAATCAATTGAAAGAGAAATAACAACAATGATAATTTATTACTATATGAAAAACCTCAGTCGGTAATGATTGCGTATCATTGATTTCTTAAAATTTAAAATTACTCCAACAGCTTTGGAGTTAACAGTTCCAATGTTACAATAATTATTTTAGAAAAAAATCATGTTTCAAAGATTTGAAAATTATTTAAATTATACAATGCAAAATAAAAAACGTAATAAAAATTGTTAAAATACAAAAAAGTATGACGCTGATTAGAAAATAACTGGTGCAGGCCAACCAACCAATTGCAAATCATCATCACTATTAATGTTGCCCACTGTGTAAACTCCTTTGTGGTTGATGATGGAGGCAGATTCAAGAGCGCTGATCTCAACTGATCCGTGTGATTCCTTGATCTTTGCAAGCCATTCCAAGTCATTGGCAGTGTCGAGCTGTTTTTTTTCATGCATTTTACATATTTGTCACATGACCGATTTTAATTTACATTGTTTTCAAAAATAAAATAAAAATAATGAAATCTTGCTGAAGCTTGGATTAGTCAACAACCAGATTTTAAAGAAGCTGTAAAATCGAGTAATAATAATAATAGCAATAATAATTATAATTAGTAAACTGAACACTAATGTATAAACATTTTGCAGACTTTTGTGTTTTTTATCTTACAAATTTTTTTGGCAAATTAGGATCAGCTCGTAGAACTTTCCAGACATTCATGCAGACAGGATAAAACTCCTTGAACCCCATTTCTTCTTTCAAGTCATAAATGAGAGGCGAGTATCCGGTGACAGCTGTATGCAGGCATGCAACTTTCTGTTCCTCCATGTCTCCCTGGCCTTCTGCTGAGATCAGGGCCAAGTCAACTAACACCTTCACTTCCCTCGAATCTATGAAAAGTTATAAAAGTATGAAAAAGAAATGTAAGAAAAAATTTTTTAATATTTATTTTTACCTAATAAATTCTTTTGCAGCCACTCAACAAACTTTGGCTTCCGTAAAAAGACTTCTAAACAATAAAGTTTCTCAGAGTCTACATTTTTCAATTCTTTGCACTTACTAACCAGCTCCTCTGTAATGTTGTTGAGGGGCATTGATTGGGAAGTTGACTGAAAAATAATTTTAAGTTATTTAATTAAATTAAATTAATTAATTAAATTTATTTAATGCATATATGAGTAACAAATGCACGATCATCTAACATCGCTATTAAAAATGTAGTATAAAAATTTTCATTTCATATTTAATATGTAATTCGCAAAGAATTAAATGAATAATTTTAAAATAACCAGTTCAACGACAAATTGTAAATCAGTAAAGTCTCCTTTCAATTTGAACATATTCTTAATATCAATCATAACTTCAGCTCCTCTTATGAAATTCAGCAGCTGATAATACAACTCAATTTGTTTCATTCTTTTGTCAACCAAACTGCCGTCACTTGGATCATAGAAGAGAGTTTTAAGTTCAACTTCCAAACTTTTGACATCTTTAATAAATGCGAAATATTGATGCACGTGTTTCACCAGCATTTTATCACTTCTGATGAGTTGTTTCAACGAATCAATAAAATTCAACGTCGGTTGAAGAACCTCAGACACCAGAGCATCGAGATCTACGTCCGCACGTCGCTTCGACATTTTAAGCATTTCCTCATCCCAGAATCTTTTGAACAGCCTACATTTATTTTGGACTGAATACGTATCGATCATGTTAAGAATTTGGTCGTTGAAAATAAATTTTTTAAATATTGGATCAGAAGAAACGTTGGAAGGTGTCAGTGGTAGCAAAATCTCGTTAAACATTGTTGTATCATCATTCAAAATCCTCAACTGATTTTTTAGCTTATCGACTGCCTCTGAAAAATTTATTGCAAGATTTACGTATTTTTAAACACATTTAAGTTTTAAAAAGCACAGCAAAATAAAATCTTACCTGACTTTATGCCTTGGCATATCTCAATCAAATTTTTAACTTTGGATAGTCGATTTTCATATAACGTTAGCTCTTTTTTTCTTAGTTGAAATAATTCAGATACATACAAATTTTTAAATGCTTTGGAATGACCATCGGCAGGTTGTGCATCAACATTACTCTCTTCTTTGTGAATAAGTTGGTACAAGTTCAAAAATGCCCTCTCATGAATCAAAATATTTCTTAGATTACTAAATGATAAATTTCCTTCTTCAATATCATTAGCAAACGAATCTATGACAGACACACATTTGATTAGTTTTTCTAGTGATTCATTTGAAAGGATACCAATTGATTCTTTCTCATCTGAAAAATCGTTTTTCATTGTAAACTGACTAGTGGTAAAAATTAAGTTTGCAAGTGCAAAAAACAAGTTAAACTCATCCAAACTCCACTAACAAAAAATGCTGATAAATTTTGGAAATATGGAAGATTTCACACAAAACATCATAAGATAGTATGGGGCCTCACAAACTGGCCAATTCTTCTGCATGATTGTCTCAATGATTTTTTTGTACTTGTCATGCGGATCACCATTATTTAGCAAATTTCTCAATAAAAATGGATAATTCTGAAAAGTTTAAAACAAAAAGTTCAAAGATATATATATATATGTTGGTAATAGAACATAATTTTTACAATATTATATTATTCCCTATATAAACCAACTTGCACTGATGATGATTCATTCTGAATCGAAATATGGCCTTATTTGCAGCATGAATTCGGAAAATAGGTTTATTTTGAATTTTAATAAACTAAAGATTCTCCAAAAAACTTAAGTGAGAAAAATCGAAAAAACGAACTACAAACATATTAACGCCAAACATTCGGTAGAATTTATAGAATATTGTACGTGTATATATAAATATATATTTTATATATATTATTATTATTATTATTACGGAAATTTATATACAGCGCTTTTTTATTGTTGAATCTCAAAAGCGCTACTAAATCATAGACAAATAAGACAGACATTCATTGTGCAAATAAATAAGTTTTAAGTTGACTTCGAAATTGTAAATATGATAGGTTAGGGTCACGTAAGTATGGAGGTAAACCATTCCAAACAATCGGGCCAAGAAGCGCAAAGTTGCGGGAACCCGTCACCAACTTTGTGGTCGGGATAAAAAATAAATTGCGCTCGGTTAATCGGAAGGAATATTTTGAAAAATGAGATTTGTATGATTCCAATCTATCGATGAGGTAGGAAGGTGCTGTATTATTGACACATTTAAACATCAAAACTGCCAACTTGAAGGAAACACGTTTTTCAACCCTCAATCAGTGCAACCTATTCAAAATAGGCGTAACATGATCGAACCACGAACCACCCAAAACCAGCTTGGCCGCACGATTCTGTATTGACTGAAGCTTTGAAAAAGACCTTTTGGTGACACCATAAAAAAGGCCAATATATATATATATATATATATATATATATATATATATATATATATATATATATATATATATATATATATATATATATATGACTTGAATGCAAAAGTTGGCTTAGATAAATACAGTTGTTTGAAAAATTAAGATAAAGTTTAAAATAGTCAAAAATGAAGTGGCCCCAAAACGTTTGTATTTTGTCAGTCTGTCACAAAATGATGAGATCAAGGTCAAATATAACATTAAAGTGCGGAATCTTTTCAGTTATTGACGGAAGACATAAATAAATCTAAATATGAAATTTTTAAAAAAGCCCTCACAGAATCAGCAAGAGAAGTTATACCTGTGAAAGAGCAAAGAGGTCAGAAATGGATAACAGATGACATCGAATCTATAACGAATGAACGAAAGAAAGTAAAAGGCTGCAATCAAAATTGTGCTTAGAGGTAAAAGAGAAATGGTTAAATGACAAGAGCGACATCATTGAAAAGATCAAAAACACTAATGCAATGTATAAAAATATCAAAAAAATCACAGGAAAAAAGGCTTGTACTGTTTCTGGATGCATAAAGGTAAAGTTAATTTCAGAGAATGAAAAAGTACCTGAAAGATGGACTGAATAAATTAACGATCTTTTTGATGATATCCGTAGTAAAAAGCCTACTATTAAAAAAGACGTAGAAGGGCCTTAGATACTTACATCCAAAAAGAAAGTTGTTGAGAAAATTGAATGCCTTGATGAATTTGACATTGAAAAAGTGACAAATTTTGAATGAGATTTATAACAGCGGCGAAATTCCTGAAGATCTATCCAAGTCAATATTTATTGCATTACCTAAAAACCTAATGCTACGGAATGTGAACTACATCAAACAATCAGCTTGATGAGTCATCTAACAAAACTTCTCTTGAGAATTCTGATGATGAGAGCACGAAGCAAAATCAGACCTGAAATTTCAAAAGTTCAATGAGGTTTGTAGAGGATTCTAGCACAAGAAACGCTATCTTTATGCTACGAATAATCAGTGAACGAGCGATTAAAATGAAGAAAGACTCGTCTATATGTTTTGTCAATTGTTCCAAAGCTTTTGATAGCGTGAAAAACGTGCAGCTTATGGAAACATTGAAAAATTTGGGCATTGATGGAAAAAACACGAGAGTTATCAAAAACCTCTATTGGGAACAAAGAGTAGTTATAAAAGTTGATAACAAGATGAATGGTTTTGTCGAAATAACACTCACAAAACATAATATACCTGAATATAATATTCTATTTTTTCCAAAGCACATTCATCCATGATTGGGCAAAGTTTAGGCCAGTGTTCACTCATATTCCATGTTGAGTAAAAATTGAAAAAGACATCATCCCCCATCTTATGTTTAAAATTATTAATTGTTTAAAAATATAATGTCAAAAAAAATTATTACAGAAAATCTAAAAAAATGTCTAAACATTAGCAATTTAAAATTAAATAAAAGTGATACACTTCAAAATAATTTTTACTGGGTAGTTTATGTTTAAAAACCAATCTTAATCCTAAAAACTAAAATCCTGTATAATCTATAAAGATAAAAAATATTGCTTTTTTGAAATAAAAAATGTTCAGCTCATACCTTTCCTAAGTATGATTTTATAAATAAATAAATCTGACTACTCCATATTTTCTGCCTCTCTTGTTGACTGAATTGCGTCGTTAGCAAACTAGAAAATATCTGTAACAGATAACATTTTCATTTATAAATCAACGAATTTTTTTCAAATTTGAAAACGTTTTACTTCGAAATGTTGTGCATTAACTGAAGAATAAGGAACAAATGGACAAGATATTTTTAAAAAATCATTGACGGCAAGCGTTAGAGATTGAAAATTTGCATTTTCTGATGTATCGACAGACGACTGTTTGTTATTCAATGCAATCATGATTTGAATGGATAGTAAACGAATACTTCCAACAGGAGTGTAATTATAAATTTTGTTTATTAATTTGAAGCAACAGTTCCAATATTGCACATTGAGTTCAAGAGTGTTTGACATCCTGAAAAAATTATATGCATTTTCATCAAATAGGTTAATAATACAAATATACAAACCTTGACATCTTTATAACAGATAAGCAGTTATTAAGAGCTTCAATAATAATTTCCTGAAACAATTAATTAACTCAATCAATGAAACAATTCATAAAATTTTAACAGCAAAACAATAACCAAATTGTTATGGAAAACATGATAATTTTTAGTAACTTAATAACGCTTAGCTTCCTTCAATGATAACCTATTAATGTTTAGTTTTAATCAATCAATCAATCAATCAATCAATCAATCAATCAATCAATCAATCAATCAATCAATCAATCAATCAATCAATCAATCAATCAATCAATCAATCAATCAATCAATCAATCAATCAATCAATCAATCAATCAATCAATCAATCAATCAATCAATCAATCAATCAATCAATCAATCAATCAGCATGTAAAGCGCTTTTATGCGATGTTCAACAGTGCTCCTCAGTGAATTTTAGAAACAGATGGGTCTGAACTTTGTAAGTGATTAAGAAGTAGTCAGAGAAGTAGGTAGAGATTTCCAGAGAAAATTGCCAAAAAAAGCAATTGAAGATTTAGAAAAAGAGCATTTTACACGAGTTAAGAAAAAGTGAGAATAAGAAGACGGTCGTAAGCGGAGACGTTTAAGTTTAATTAATAAATCTGTTAAGTATTAAGGAAATAATTTAGATTGAGGTTTGTACATTAATGTGCAAGATTTAAAAAATTATTCTATATTATTTCATATTATTTAACTTTATTATTTTATCTCTTACTTGATATTTATATATAGGCAGTGAACGGGAACAAGATATAGAAATACATTAGGTAAGATAGGTGCATAAGCAACTAGAGGAGTAGTAAAGTTAAAAGCTTTACTTAAAGGATAGAGTGTAGAATCAGGAAGACCATAGTAGAGCAAGTTACAATAATCAATCAATCTTAGATAAGGATGGGGAGAAAAGTAAGATCTTCAAGAAAAGGCAAAAGTTTTTTATTCTACGTAGATGAAAGTAAGAACTTCTAGCAACAATATTAATCTGAGAAGAAAGTGACATGCTAGAATCAAAGATAAACCCTAAACTACAAAATTTACGAAAAACAACAAAAGTTTTTGAATCAGGTAAGATAATTTTTTTTTTCCAGAATTTTATTCGAAAAGAAACAGGAGATCATATATAAGAATGCATGTGCTGACCACCTTAACTAGTTGTGCAACAATATGAGATACAAATATAAACATTTTTAGTATATCGAAAGCATGTGCTGACCACCTTAACTAGTTCTGCAACAATATGAGATACAAATATAAACATTTTTAGTATATCGATAAATATAAATACACCCAATAATAGAAGGAATAGTAATACAGTGTTTAGATTTATTAAAACAAATAAGCTCAAACCTAGAAGTATCTAGTCTACGATACATAAAGATCTAGAAAAGTTATGGGAGTAAATAAAGACAATATAATAGTAAGTTTAGTATAGTTTTGAGAAGCATGTCATAACGGTTTTTACAATGTTCCACAATGTAACACTATGTTATCTCGTTCTTCACGACTCACGTTTTTTTCATTCCCTTCCCTTATCCAGCTTATATAGGCTGTTGGAGGGGCTCATGGTAGTTCAGCAACAATTCGTTCATTATTACGTCTACAGCCACGCTAGCCCATATTGCTCCATCCATTCAATCATTCACCCATCCATCCATTCAACGTTCCTTTTTCTCAATCTCCCAGTTGTACGCCTATACACATAATACAATGGGTAGACAGTTTGTTAACAAGAAACAGAGAAGCTTCGATATTTTAATAAACTACACATTAATCTATTCAAACCTTTTTAATAAAATCTTATTTGTGCAAATCATTTAATAAAATGTTTGTGACGTAAAAAAATGAAATCAAGATGAATAAATCTAAAAAAATATATACCTGATCAGTATAATTGTGATATGCTATCTTACGAATGAAGTAATAAACATTGGCAAGACTGCCATCAAGAGGAAACATTTCAATAACTTCAGGTACTTGGTGAAGATTCATAACTGCCAAAACTGATCTAGGCAACAACTTGTCAAATTCAAAGAGAGGTTGCAAATGTTCCAAAGACTGTTTCCATGATCTATTTTTAAATAATTATAACAAAGATTCAAATCTTATCAAAAATATCGTACCAAGATCTAAAGTGTCAATAAAAAGAATGGAAATATACTACATTTATAACATTTTTCAAAAATAGCAAACAAAAAAAAGATAAACCAACAATTTTGATCTATGCTCCAATTTGAAATCGTCTATAAATTTTTGAAATTTTTCTATACCCCACCAATTAGGATCGTCATGGTTTTCATTGAATTTCATTTCAAAAGGTTTCACTTCTCCATTCAGTAGGTGGAACAGAGGCAAAATGCATAACCAATCTTCATTATAGTTTTTAAATCGATTCATGATCTTAATAATCTCAACCAGACTTAATTTCAATTGTCTGAAATCAAATAAAAATGATTATATAATATATAATAATAAACGATTGTAAAAATTTATTATATAAATAATAAATGATTATATAATAACTATAATAAACGGTATAAAAAGAAACCTACTCTTTTGAATGGCCGGATGGAAAATGTAGGCATACCAGCTCATAATTGCTAGTACCTTTGTTTGAATCAACACTTAATAACAAGGATCGGAACAAGACGGACAAAATTTCCGGTTTATAAAGATTACATGTATTTAAAACAGAGACAGCACAGCATGCATTAACGAGGAGTTGATCTTTCAAATAAATATTGTTGTTGAAGCCAGAGACATAATCTATTAAAAACTTGTAATAACATTAAAACATTAAAATGTGAACCAGAATAATGTTTGTAAGATTTGATTCTAACTGGCTTCAAAGAATCTTTAATATCAAGTTCTTGATAAGTCTTGAGGGCACAGGCATAAACTTTGGAGAACGTTTTTAAAAACTGTTCTCCATAACCAGTAGTGTTTGCTTCATGTTTGATGTCCTGCCAATTTGGCAAATGACAATGATAGGACATGTTGGTACTTAGTTCAACATCATTTGAGAAATCATTGGATCTGGTGATTTTTGTATATAATTTTGAATACCATGGTAAATCTTTTTTTATCTTTTCTTTCAAAATTATTGAATCATACTGATCACACTCTGAAAAGGATAGATTCAAGTTGGAAAAAAAATATGAAAATTTAAATGAAAGCATTTTCACCTGAAGTTAAATCGTTTTTATTTATTTTAAGAATTCTTTTCTTAAAACCATGTTTTTTCTGATAAAGTTCCATTATTTTTTCTCCATCCTTTTTCACGAAATATTCATATGGCATTTCCCTATCAATTAATTTGTACTTTGGCAACATTGCTTCTCTGCTCATAATTGCAATATCATCATTGAACATCCTAAAAAACATCAACATGAATATAAAACATGAGGAAACACAATTTGATGAAATGAATTATTTATTACGTCGACTTGTTCATTCCAAGCTCTTTTTTGTCAATATTAAGAAAAACTTCCCAGCCTTCATAGGGTTTCCAATCAAATTGTTGTGGCGAAAACACAACATGGAAAGTCACTTTAATTTTTTCTGAGGGCTTCACACTATATGATAAAAGAACAAATCAATATATTATCTTCAATGTCGAACATTTATAAAATCTGTACAAATATAAAAACCAACTTTACGGATTCAAGTTTAGCATGATGTTCTTCATCAAAATTTCGGATTTTCTTAGGAGCTGTTATTTCCAGCTAAAATATTTATCAAAAAATTTTACAGTAGACATGTTCATTTTGAAACAAACAACTAAAAAATTATTAACAATAATAATAACTGCAACATACATTTGTTGCCACAGCCTCTAAACAAGATTTCTTAGAATTTTTTTTATCGTTTTTTGGGAAATTTATTTTATTTTCCGATCTGTTAGAATTTGTTGATAAGTTGGATAGATCTAAATTTGCAGTAATATCAGCAGGTGTTTTCAGAACTCCAACATCATTTGGATCAGCTGAATTTTTTTTTTCAACCTCTTTTTGCAAATCTGACTTATCAATGTCAGTCTGTCTATTATCATTAGGAAATAAATCTTCGAAAGAATTTTCTTTTAAATTATTAATTTCCCTATTTTGATCAGCTGCAGAGCTTACAGGAATTATAAACTCCTCAACCTTGGAAGTAATGTTCTTACTAGCTGAGTCATCTGCCAAATTATTATTTGGATCTGTAGAAACATTTTGATTCTTATTACTATCAATTTTTTCACTTGGAAGTTCAAATTTTGAGTCATTTTCATTCTTTAAATCAGTTTGATCTCTAACAACATTCGAATGTTCATTTTTATTTTCTTTTGGAAATTTTCTTTTTCTTTCTGCTTTATCATTTGAAAAATTATTTAAAATTAAGGAAAATAATAATTAATTTTATCTTTAATTTAACTATTGCAATTCTAATGACACTCTTCCTTTATTTTCAAATTTCAAACAAAAATTAATTAAACAACTTTTTAAATAGTTGAAAAATAAAATTTATAGAATATATTGATCCAACAGCACAAACCAGGTGATGTTGCCTGTTTTCTTTTTGTCAAAAACAATTTGGGATCAACTTTTTTTCCACAATTAGTGCAAAACTTCATCGAGCTATCAAGTTTGAATCCACATTTTTTCTTCTTCTTCCCACGACAAACCACTCCTCCATCCATCCTGTTAAATTTGAAAAACATTGCCATAGAGTAACATTATGAAAAATGAAAACACATGAATGACAAAAAATAAAATAAAAAATTTTGTATAAACACAGACATACTTATAGTTTAGTAGGTTAGCAAAAATATTAATATAATAATTATATCATAATATGTATTATTATATTATATTTACATTGAAATATTATATTATTTATTCGACTGTTTAGCAAGATTTTTCCAAATATTTCAGAACAAACTAACAAAATTGTAATGTAAAACTTTGATATATAATGAATTTAGCATAATTAATGTTAAGTTAAAACTTAAAAGACACTACAACACAAATAACTCATTTGAAATAAGGATCTAAATAAGGCTTAAGAAGGGTTGTGTAAAAACTACTATACGGTAGTATATGCATGTAATTTATAATATAGTTATAATTTATTATATTATTATATTTTATAAGTATGCATAAGGCAAGCTAATAAAAAAGACTAAATAATAATTGTTATAGTAGTGATCTCTGCTATATTATTTTATTTGAAAATAAATAAATTTACTCAATAATATATATGAAAAATTATTAAGACAATCTGATCAAAAATTTTTTTAACCCAGCTTCCTTGTGCTAATTTCAGTGAAATGCAAAATTTTTGCTCTCAAGAATCTCTTCTTTCTTGATCTTTAATTTGATCACCAATCCACTAACTAATTGATTTTTTAATTTTTATTATTTGCGAATAAACGACAATAAAACCACAAATAGTGAATCACAAAACGATCGAGAAATTACCGGACTAAAATTTCTTATTGCGCGTTTCAACTCAACTATAAAAATGTCGCTTTTATATTATTTCATAAAGAGAAACCAACGAAAATTACATCCATTCACTTTCGCTTTCTACAAGGGAGGGATGCGTTAACTAGAGATGTGTACTGTGCAGTGTAAAATACTTAATGAATAATTAATTAATTAATATATATTAATATGTGGTTTATTAATTATATCACGTTAAATATGAGGTATCTATATTAATGATACCACGTCAAATATGAAGTATACATCCTAATTATATCACGGTATATATATATGAGGTGTGAATATTAATGATACCACGTCATATAAGAGGTATATAGGGCCTATATATATACATACAGACATAAGTAAATATATAAAAATTAAATATAATTCAGTTATCTGGCGGATGCCGGCCCACACAACAAAGAAAACATGAAATATGTTAAAACAACACTCAATTAGTATATTGGAACTCTAATTTTAATAAGTTAAGTGATTCTATAGTATGTCTCTTTCTTCTCAGAATAATAATATGTTGCTAGAAGTTGTTACTTTCATATATGTAAAATAATAAAACTTTTGCCTTTCCTTGACGATCTTACTCCTCTTCTTCTTGTTACTTCGTTAGTCTTATCTAGGATTGATTATTCTAACTCGCTCAAATATGGTCTTCCTGATTCTATACTCTATTCTTTAAGTAAAGCTTTTAACTCTTCTGCTCGTCTAGTTGCTTGAGCCCCTTTCTTTACTCATATATCTCCATATCTTGTTCTCTTGCACTGGCTGCCTATAAAATAAAAAATAATTTTTAAAATTTGCACATTTATGTATGTCTCAATCTAAGTTATTTTCTAAGTACTTAACAGATATATTAATTGAACCTAAACGCCTCGGTTTACGATCGTTTTTTCTTGTTCTCGCTTCTTCTTAGCTCGTGTTAAACACTCTTTTGTCAAATCTGCATTTGCTTTTTCTGGCCATTTCTCTGGAACTTTCTACCTCCTTCTTTGACTACTTCTCCATCACTCACGAAGTTCAGAGCGGATCTCAAGACCCATCTGTTTGCAAAATTAATTGAGGAGCGCTGAAATAGCGCTTTATAAACTGATTGATTGATTAATTGATTAATTAATTGATTGTTGCAGAATCATTGTTAATTTATAAAAAAAACCTGCAGCAAACATACGAAAAGAACGCAAGATTTCACAAAGAAAGGGCAAATTATAAATTTGCTTTGTTGGAAAACAATAAATACGAACAAATCATAATAACTAATGTTCAACTTATATGATGATGGTTAAGTTCGCAAAGCAAAACTTTTTATTTTATGTGGAATGCAAACCAAAATAGTTAAAAACTTTGAATATAATTTGAATAAAATGCTAATGATAATATTGTTCTTAAAATCAACCTAGCGCTGTCAATGTTAAAAGAACAGTGCTGCTATTTCATAATAACTGTATTAAAACTTGAAAATTGTTGAATCTGAATAAAAATTCGTAAAAGAAAGACATCCAACAACGTGTAACTAGTTCTTCTAACAAATAAACTCATAAAGAACACCCAACGCTAACAATGAAAAAATCACGCAAAGACACACAATGACCATTATAAAATTCAACAAAGAAATCTTTCGTGCACGAACAAATAAACAACAAATGTAACACATGATGAGGACATAGGCATCGCATTTCATGTGTTATATATCTGTGTGTGTATGTGTGTGGTGTGTGTTCCGTGATGCGTACAATATTTTCGGCAATAGCTAGTTACAAAGAGCCTCCATCTTCTTCTATCTTTTGTAATTTTCCGGCTTCTGCGATGCTCGTGTTATTTATTTTGAAGTCTTCTTTGATGTTGTCACTTGCCAGTCCAAGTCTTTTTTGGATGACATCTTCTTTTCTTACCCATGGTTGATTCTATACAACATGTTTAAAGTGGCCAAATACATCTCAGAGAATGTCTTTTAAAATATAAAATGGTACAACGTACTTTCCCACTCAGATTGTTGACAGATAAATATCGAGCCATATCGTTCCAACACACGGCTGCTCCAAGCATCAAATCATAATCCATGTCACCTGCAGCGCCTATTAATACAATGGACGAAAGATTGAATGTTGTTGGTTGTACACGTTGTATGCCGATTATGAATTGGTTCTCATCGATTGGGACATGTATAGCTATATACAACAGGCACATTTCCATACATACATTCATGTTTAAAAACCTTGTATTTATATACATGCATTCACATTTACACACATACAAGTGTATGTAATCGCGGAAAGATTTGCACTGATTACCATCAGCACGCAGAAAGAAAGAAAACACTGTATTGTTTGAACAACAAACAATTAAACAAAAAAAAAAGAAAGAACTTAATTGGTGCAACAATTGATGGAAGGAGCTTTGAAAGTGTGGTCAGGTTAAACAAATGCCGAAGAATGAAATCATTCAGATAAGATTGGTTGATTGATTCAGCTTTCAGTTTAGAATCATCGCGTGTAATAGATTACAAGCAAATCGTTTTCAATTGTTCTTGACGTCATTTCTTTGCCGCCGCTTGTTTCCAATTCAATGATTAAATATATTGTTCATTGAAAATTTTAGATTTGACCAAGTTGCTTAAATTGTTCAAATGTATTTGAAAAGCGCTTTAAATATTAAAACTGAACAAAAATGAAAATTCACTGATGACGAAAATTGAAATCAATTGTTATAGCTGGCACTCAAAATTTATTTTAGGCAGTGATAAAATCTAAGAACACAGACCGCAATTCATTCAACAAATTAATTTTGAAAAGCTTGAGATTAAAAAGCTTGAGATTAATCAATCTATAATTACGATTAATTAAACTTTTATTTTCAATTAAGTAACATTTTTTTTATTTTATATCAATAGAAGTACATAGAATAAGCGTTTTTAAAGTGAATTTAAAATGCGTTGCAGTCGGTGTCCTTTATTATTTTACCTGTTTTGCTTTCAAAAGCTGAGTGCATTTGAATTTTGTTTTCAAATTCAAAGGTCGATAAACAAGTTTAGGTATTACGTGCCGTATACTTGGTCATATAAATACAAACATATACTAAACTGGCCCACGAACGCACATTTTCAGTGCGCTTTAGGCTGGTGTCATTCTTTAGCATAATGACTGCAGACCAATGCATAAATACTAATGAAACTTGATTGGATGATGAAGTACACAACGTAATACCCATATAACTACGTTACGACTAAAATTTATTATTTTCAAACTGAAACGTTTAATTAGCATTAAATTTAAACAGATTTTCATCTAAAAATATTGACGCTTAACGAAGTCAGCTGGATGGATGAACTACTTTCTGTTTCTTTTTGTCCTTTTTTCTCGTCGAGCTTTCTGGAACGTTTGTTTCTTTTGAGCGCTTTGTCTATTTTTTATAATTTGTTCTTTTCTCTTTAACTCTGATCGCTGCTTCAAAGAAGGAACTGTTTGTTTTGAAAATTTTCTCTTGTCATTTTTGAAGGTTTTTCTTTCTCTATTGTTGGTAAAGCCTGTTTAAATAGGAAACAATAAGTTTCATCAAATTTTTCATCTTTTGATATTTTATGAATGTTTATTGTTGTTACAACATTCAACAGTTTTTCAACAATATCCTTTTCGACTTTTAGTATCACATTCAGTAGCAATACTTCATATGCAAAATAACTTAACAAGCAACAAAATTATACCTTAACAAATGAACAATAATATGAGTTGAAAAAATAATTTGCAAACTTTTTGAACTCCTGTTGTGCTGCAGATGTTTATTTTTGTTTTGGTCACCATCATCTTCGTCCTCATCACTGTCAGCGTGCTTGATTTTCTTCTTTTCAAGCCACGTTTTATATCTAATTGAAAAGAAACAACAGAAGTTCACTGACACATAACAAGTGCATTCAATATTGGAGAGAACATACTTCTGGAAGATGTTGATTTGTAAGTATGTTTGTATATACGTGCATAGACACATTTGAAACCATTAATAACAAGTATTTATTTTATTCATTTTAAACAAATTATAAAGGTTATTAAAGAAATGGTCCTTGATAATAAATTTAAGTTTCATCAACTGTTTCATCTTTTGATATTTTATGAATCGTCCAAAATTTACCAACAATTCGTTCTTTTTAGTATTCCTCCCCGAGATGACAGCACCAGCTTCATTTTTGGTTTTCCTTGTTTTGTTTTCTCCTCCTTTAACAAATTTTTTCTTTTTTCTGTCCCTACATGTTAAGTTTTGTCATCAACAGCTCAAGTTAATTTTATTGTAGATGCAAAGAAGGCACGTTAAGGTTTTAATTGTTTTGATACGATTTTAAATTTGAAAAATTAGCTTGAAACAGAAAAATTAATACATACCAAACCATGATGTTTTTCCTCTTTTTCATCTCTTCGTTATCGTCACCAACGAGATCCAGCACCATCTTCGAAGCTTCTCTCTCAAACCCATCATTGAGAAGCAGTCTGAATTATAATTGTTATAGTATGAGTTATTATTCTGCAAAACGCAATGACGACATTTTGAGAATCAAATATGCTCATTATTAAATCAAAACATCTAAAATTTAAATACACCAAAAAGCTTTAAAAAAATGTTAACAATGATAAAACTTGTAATAAAATTTGCAAACTCTTTACACTAAAGAATAAAGCTAGTAACAACAGAATTCATCCTCAACAACATAAAAGAATTTTTGGAGAAGATTGTTGGTTAAATAGTTTCATTTTAAGTGATATGTATATTCTCTGTTTAAATTATACACTTTTTTAAAGTTTTTGTGGGAATTAAATTTTTTAATTTGTGAATATAGATAAATAACTATAACCTTGTTGTTTACGTTTGCGTTAATTATTGATAAAATAAAATTTTAAAACGTGTTAAGACATAATTTTCTGCCCGGTTATTTTGTATATAGTTAGTAAATTATCAGCACATTGTAAATTTATGACACATTGATCAGCGCTTATTTTGCTAAACCCTCCTCGTTAAATAACCAGTAAATTGGTAAGTTTTTGACCAGGATGTCGAGAAATTATCGCGACATCACGAAACAATCGAGAACTTATCGAAATACCGAAAAATTTTCAGGTCGGGAAATAATTTGGTGTCAATGATGGGATTCGATAGGGAAAAATTTAATTATTGGGAACGCCCATGTCTACTTTTATAATTTAGGTACCAATTAATAATACAGGCTTCACTTAATGATTCAATCATTGAAAAATGGACGATATAATTACCCTTCTTCTGATTTGTTTTCACTGCAATAATTGAGATAATTTTCCTCATCTTTCAAATTTTTCCTTTTTTTCAATGGCACTCCATTGACTTCTTCGACGTCTTCACCAGCATGTTCTCTCTTTTTTAGATTCGAAGATGTCGTTAAGTTGGAACGAATTTGGAACGCGTTATTCTGTGACTTCAACTGCATGTTGCAAATTGAAAAATAATAACAAATACTTCACTATATCAAATAGATAGAAAATTTCATCTGCAATCACAACATTATTTACATCTAATAAAATTTAATTCCTATTCAATTAATGACTATGATGAACAGCAGACTAACAGATTGACATTTGAAACTTTTGAGAGCGCACAAAATCTTTTCTCGTTCTGACTCCATAACATCCACCTGGTTGTCTTGTTGAATAACAAAACACGATATAACAGAACCATGTTATGGTTTACAAAATTAAAACCATTCATTCAAAAAAGTTTTCAATGTTCATAGTCAATAAAACCGACACAACTAGCATAACACAACCACAAGTCAAGTCACTTTCAAGCTCTAAAACATCATTTAAACTGAAATATAAAAAACCGAGGCTTTATTTGAATCAATGAACTTGTAGCAAGTAAGTAATTTAAATAAGAACTTCAGGACCAGTTATTTTGAATTAATGAAAAAATTTCAGATGGCTAAACAAACGAGCAAATAGAGGATGATAGCCCAATTTCTCATTGGACATTGCCTTCATTCTCTTGATGCTCTCTGATGATGATGGGTTTCGTGTTTTCAGGTAATGTTTATACGCATTTGACGTCACTTTCAACATGTTCTTCTACATATTCCAAAAAGCAGTTTTAAAATTTTACTTATAAAATACTACGCAAATGAAATATAAACATTTTTTTGTAATTTCAAATATAGTAATAAATTTTATGCTTAAAAAATCAAACAAAAAACTAAATTGATTCAAAGTGCAAAAATTGAAGAAAAAGACATCTCTTCATTACAAAACTCACAAAATCAACGGTTTCATTCCAAGTTTTCAACCTATCTTCTTCATCGATTGCTGACTGTGGCACCAAGCCATATAGGTTATCAGCGACTGAATAGAAATTAACAAAAATTTAACATCGTAATATATTACAAAACTGGAAAAGCAGTTAAAAACAATACAGTTGCAAATATTTAAGAAACAAATTAAAAAAATTAATTGATTCCAAGCATAGATTATGGCCCTTAAGATTACAAAAGTACAAAACAAAATGACACAAAAAAAAATTTGATTTGGCAAAAAAAATTTAATAGAAAATAAATTTTAAAGGGCAGACCAAAAGTAGAATTTTAAACAATTTATATAGGTCAGACATAGCATATGTAAAATTGTTACCGTTTTTTATAAGGTTGTCATAATTTTCTGGCCAATATTTAAATAAGGCTTAAATAAATTTATAAATAATAATAATAAAACCTTATATGACCATTTTGAAATTCTAAGCACGTTAAAATTTTCATGACAGTAATGTGCCGAATCTCAAAATTCACATTATCTCCACCTTCATAACCGTATGAATGAATATAACTGCAATAACCTTTTATAAATGATATTTGTCTTTAACAAGGGCCATCATTTCACATAACTTTACATTAACTCATCTCCTTTAAGTAGTCGATTCCATTAAAATTGATCATCTAAGACTTCTATGCATAAATTTTTATTCTCCTAAATTTTTATCACAAAAAATAATCTAACAAACTCAGTGAAAAGTAATATGTCCACTTCCAACAATGGGACAAAATAGAAAATATCTACTCACCATTATTATTTACTGCATCAGACTCCTTGACGAAGTTGATGGTTCTGCCTAGGAACATGTGCAGGTCGAGAACGTAGGCCTTCTCGTCAGCGCACACGATGGAATACGCATTGCCGCTGTTGCCTGCCCTTGCCACCCTCCCTGGTTGCCAATAAAACAATTATTCATATATCCAAACAGGCAATCAACCAAAATTTATGAACCGCTAATGAGGCAGGTAGGAGTTGGAACAAGAATCAAACCCATTTAGTAAAGAAAAAAAATGATGTTTTCAACATAACGAATACAAGTTTGGAGCTCTGGAAAATAAAATATGGAAAGAACTGAAGTGAAAGATTACATACCAACTCTGTGGAGAAAGAGTTTCGGTTTTGCAGGAAAGTTGAAATTGATGACGTTGACCAAAAGAGGAATGTCGATTCCTCGGGCAGCCAAGTCGGTGACGATGAAAATGTTGGTTCGTCGGTTGCGAAACCTGTCAACATTAATGTTGCGAGCTATTGGATCCAGTGAGCTGTATGATATAGAACACTTGTAGCCTGCCTTTGTAAGAACCTAGAATTAAAAATACTACCTCAAGTAATCTTCAATTTTAGTATTTGGCAAGCATCGAATGACGTATTATTTTCAAATTAAATCTCTAACATTAATTAAAAATCCAAATAATAAATTACCATATTGAGATATTCAACGTGGTGTTTGGTGGCAGCAAATATTACAGTTGGTTCAGATGATTTTATTATATGATGCAACAAGTAGAGCAGAACGCAAACCTTGTCATCACTTCGACATTCAAAGAAAAACAACTGGAAGGAAATTTGAACAGAAATTAAAACTAACATGAAGTAAAACAAATGATATAATAATACAAGGTCCAACTTTTAGTAGATCAGGAAGTTTTGTATCAACATCTAATCTGATCAATTCAGGAGAATTCAAACCAGCGGATGCAAACTCTACCAGCATTTTGGGCAGAGTGGCAGAGAAAAGTAACGTCTGTCGATTCTCTGGAAGACGTTGCAATATTTCACCAAGTTGTTCTTGGAAGCCCATTTCAAATAATCTGCAGTCAGTTGGAGATGAAAATATTTAGTAACATCATTCAAAGTTACATTAACTTTTTGTTGTAAGTTAATCAAGGATGAAATATTTCTGTTGAAAATAACCAATTTTTTAAAGTAAAACATTAATGAAACTTTTGATATACCAATATAAAACAACACATCAATTAACAAGTTTCTTTAACATTTACAAACAAAGAGAAGAATTCTGCAACACAAAATAATTAAAAATAATATCCAACCTATCAGCTTCATCGAAGACAACATATTCAACTTTCAACAACTTAAGATTCATTTCTGATAAGACGTGCATGAATCGACCAGGAGTTGCTATGATACTGAAAAAGTATTAGCAAAGATTACACAATCCTTAAAACAACACGTGACACAAATCTATCTGATTTATTAATGAAAACACTAACACATCAGGATTCTCGTGTAGAGCAGCAAACTGATCTTCAATCCTACACAATTAACAATAGAGAGAAAATTTTATTCGTTTCATACAGGAACGACGCAACACACACACACACACGCACACACAATATGAATCAGCAGCAAATTATGTCAACATGTACTAACTTGTCCCCTCCTAAAATTAATGTAAACTTTAGTTTTGTGAACTTTCCCAGCTAAGAATCAAGAAAGTTGTTAAAATTTATTTGAGCATAAAACTTTCTTGAAACTTAACTTAAAAGACAAATGAGGCAAGACTAACACTAAATTATCAAATAGGTTGAAGATAAAAAAAAAGAGCCCAAGTACAAACCTCTTTAGCAAACTTATAAGTTTGCAGGGCCAGTTCCCTGGTTGGAGACAAGATGACAGCTCGAGCACCAGTTGGATTATGAGTTTTGAGTCTTTCCAGCATGGGAATTACGAATGCACCTGTCTTACCACTCCCCGTCCGAGCCATGGCAACAACATCCTTTTTGTCCATGATCATTGGTATCGTCTTCAATATCAATTGTATAAATATACGTTTAGGATACATAGTAATAATCACTTGATTAGTTAGGCAGACATATGAGAAGTAGTATTCAATAGAATATGTTTGGATAGAATTGAATGGTTTATAAACAAAGAAAAAATTTACCAAAAAACATTGAAAGCTTATCAATAAAAGCGTTTTTTCAAATATTTTTACATCCCTCAAACAAAACAAAAAGTTTACACATCATTCTTCAAAATAGTCATAAGCACAGGATTCTCTTGCAACAAATCAACTTATAAAACAGAAATAACCTTTCTCTGGATAGGAGTGGGTACCTTGTACCCCTTAAACATCACCCCTTTGAAAACTGGATTAGAAAGCCCTGCATTCAAAATTAAACACTTCATTACATTTACAATTTTTTTCAGAAAATTTTTATAAGAACAACATTCTATATGTATTTTGAAATTATTAATCAATTAAAGTACTCATGATCAAGGAACTGAATATTCAATTTAACAAAATATTTTAACATCAATTCAAAATTTTCATATATACATTATATTATATTTTACATGTTGATTGAAATAACCTGAATTGGTGATTTTATGAAAATAAACATATGAAAGAATGTTACCAGTTAGACTCAAAGAATTACAATTTATTAAAACTGAAAGAACTAAATGATGACAAAACACACCCATGCTTTGAAAGCCACCAGACTTTCTTTGCTTCCTATTCTCATTTCTATTCAGATGCTGCAATTCTTTCAACTCTTCTTCATCATCACTACTTTCAACTTTTTTGGAGGATAATTTATTTTGTTTTTGACTGAACATTTTTCTGTCTATCTGAGAAACATCAGAATACTTTTATTAACGATAAATGTAGAATAACACATAATATTCAATATGATAACTTAAAAAGTTTCAAATTACAAAAATTTTCAAACATATTTTTCAAGTGTGTAGCAGGCCTTGATATGAATAAGAGGTCACAAACTCTATGAAGAAATAAATAAACAATCAAATTTCCAACACAAGAGTCATTGAAACTAACAAAAAAAACTGGAAGATAAATCTCATGTAACTTCTATAATACAAACATTCATTGAGTTAAGTCAAAGTAACTGATTCTTAATCAGAAAAATGTACAGAACGACAGCTTCATTAAAAACTCATGCTATGTTTAAATAACACCTTAATTAATTATCTTAATTAAATCTTTATAAATAAGGATCAATCTCCATCCACAGTAAAAATTGCTAAAGCCGCAGTAAATGTTTGTCAATGGTAAATTAATTAAACCTTTGGTAGGTATCGCTTGCTTGTAATTGTCAGAACAAAATGTTATAGCTCGCTCGTGAACTCTACATTTAATAACTCTTAACTTAATTTTTTCATAAAAGAACTCACGAAATGAATGACTTTTGAGACTGCACAATCTAAGCAGGTAACAGCTGCATGAAAAATGCATATATGCAATGATAATATGTAAACAACATCTGTTACTCATTTCAATTTTTTTCTTGTTTTGCAATTTTGTAATAAACACTTCATTATTTATTATTTAGAATTTAAATTTTAGATTCTAATAAAAATAAATTAATTAAATATTTATTTTACATATTTTATTTATAGTTTAAGTCAAGATAAATTTAAACTTATCTTACTTTTAATCATTTTTATTTTACGTTTTTATCTTTTTGTTTCATCGTTATTGTTTAAAATTTAAAAAAAATTTTTTTAAATTTCAAGTTTATCATTTTCAATTTTTCTTGACTGAAACAAGGAATGCATGCATGAATGAAAGAATGTCACAATTCCTTGTGACATTCAAATAACGAATGTCACACAACACACAATTGTATTAATGATCAAAATTTGATTATAATATGTTCAAACATCAACGGTCTTGGTGCGAAGTGCACCAATGCGAGCATCACTACTTAGTATTTACTAATGCAACTACACTGCCTACTACTAATGCTAATCTAATTCTAAACACAAATAGTATGTCAATCCAGGATCCAATCCAACCAAATCATATAAAAATTCGATTTTGAGCAAAACGAACCTCCAGGCAAGACTTCAACCGTTTTTAAGATTTAATAAAATTTATAAATTTTTATGAACACACGAAGCAAGTGTTAATCTTTTAAAATTACGAATGCACGCACGCACGTGTCTTGTCTATTATTTTCGTGTATTATTCCATTTTACATCAACAATAACAAGAAGAGTTGAGCTGGAAATAATTTGGCTGAATATTAACAAGAGCTTTGCCAATAACGTGATTTTGGGATTTTATTCAGTTTAATTATGGTCTATTACCAACATATATATATATATATATATATATATATATATATATATATATATATATATATATATATATATATATATAAACCAATATATATATATGTATATATATATAAATAAACCAGAGGTTCCATTATTACTTCCATTTAATATATATATTAGAATATATATTGTTTATTTCTGATGTTTGTATAAATTTTTCTAAAATATTAAATGTTTTTTTTTCGAGTATTAATTATAGTAACCAAAAAATTATCATTTCTTTTGATTTGATCTTTAGTTCCGGATTATTCGAAGGAAGTAGATCGTCATTCATCATCTACTTAGAACACCCTGAATATTGTATCATCTGGTAGTATCATGTGTATTATATTTTGTGAGTCTTAATTCAAGGTCAGTAATTTTTAAAAGCACTGCAGTCTGCATGACAAACTTGGCATCAAATTCTTTATTTGAACGATATATATTAATATTTACCAATTGTAACAAAGTTGTAAATTTATAATTGTTGTAAATAATCATTCAGTAAGTAATGATCACAAAAATTGAATTAGAAAATTTGATGATTCAGTTTCAGCAATTTAAATAACCACGGGGTAAAAAGTTCCAGGCTCTCACAATTCTTTGGCTAAATTCTGATTTTTATTTAACTTTAAATTTGTGTTTATGTTTTAAAATATTGTATATACTAAATTGATTTATAAGATTTTCAGGTAGTTTACCTACATGTTTAAACTGCCTTATTTCTTCGATTTCTTGAGTGTTGATTGTTTTAGTCTCCTCAGTCTTCCATTGAAGGGAAAATTGCACATTATAAGCCCATCAGTTAATCACCTCGTCAAGATGTTGACCCCGGTGAGCATAGAAACATTTTAAAAACAAAATTTGCGCGAAAATTTTCCCCCGGTCACCAAGTTTAGTGTAAATTAACCCCTGTCATCCGATTTTTAGTTGTAAAATTTAAATAATTTTAAATCCCCCTGGCCATCAAGCCATTTTTATTAAAAATTCTCACTCCCTCCCAGTACTTTCATCGACTTTTTTTTTTGAAAATTCCCCACCCAAAGTCAACTTTTTTGAAAATTTTCACCCCGGTCGTCAAATATTTTTCAAAATCTTGGTACTCCGTCAAATTTGTCTAGATCCGCCATTGAGTGCAAGTATGAAGAAGTCTAACCATTTTGCTGAACGACCAAAAAATTGACTATATATTTTATAAAACGGGTTACAACGAATTTTATTTGATTAGAAAATCTAAATTATTTTTATATGAATGGAAAAGCTTTAACGCACCAGATAAAGTGTTTTATGTAGTTAACAAAATTTTTTTAATTAAAACAAAATGAAATGATTAGCCTGTGCATTTATATTTTTTATTTGTGAACATAATCGTGTCAACACCCATGTATTAGTTGAGTGCTTGTTTCGACAGACAAGCAACAAGCTAAAAAGGTAGAAAGAGAGTAAATCCTTCTTAGATGTGCACATGTTTTTGAGTTACATAAAAAAATTTGATAACTGAAGCATTTTTTTTCAGTTTACATTTTTATAAAATTATAAAAAAAATATTTAAAGTTTTCTGCTGTTAATATAATATTTATCATTTAATTACTTTTTTTAAATTAAAATTTATAATATAATATGCTAATAAATCAAAAGTTTGAATAAGTTTTTGATATTTTTGGAATTTACATATCTGTTTTTTAAATTTTATAAAAAAATCCCCGTGGCGAAAATGGACGTGAAATGCAAACTAAAAATAAGAGAAGCATTAAATGAACGCCTGTTGATGAGCACTTTTGTTAAAACACACTTGCATTTTTCAACGTGTTTCTCAGTCATTCAAACATTCAGTCATTCAGACATCCTAACGTATTCACTATCCGCCTCGCCAACCAATTAAGTCTGTCATGCATTTCTCTCATCAATAATCGTTATGGTTTAATATTCTCGAAAATTTATGAAACGAAAATCTAAAAAAACATGATTATTTATTCTTTTGGAAAACAAAATCTAGAATATAATTCATTGAATGTTTCAAACAAAATTTTAAATAAATGTGTATATCTGAGAATGCCATTTTGACTTAAAATGAATGCTATGAACTATTATTATTTTTTATTATTTTGCTGGGAAATTCAGAACAGCTTGAGATCAACCAACCAATCATGATACTTTTTCTACAGCGCTAAACACTTTACTCAATCAGCCCTCTCACCTTCATCGAATAACGATGGTGTATGAGTTGATGTCATTGTCATCTTCGTTCATCCTCATCAGTCCGGTCTCACTTACAGTTTTCCCCGATGGAATGATCTGATAAAAAGTCAGCTATTAATACTTGAAACTACGCCAATTACACTAGCAATAATAATAATAATAATTACAATAATTCATACATGTAAATTCAAAATGATTCAATCGAAAATAGGAAAAATGAAATTCATGTTAACGGATCACTACAGTAAAAATGATTTTGCGTTAACTTTTAATCAATCATTTACTAGCCCCATCTATTGTATGGTTTTTATATACAAGTTCTCCAGTTTGAGATTCAATTTTATGCTAATCTACATACTGTATATATTTCTTTAATCAATCCCTCAGGGCTTCTAAAGAGCAATCTTTTTTAAAAATTATACTACATTACATTGAATTATATTGAAAGATGACCGACCAAGAAGAAGAAAGGAAAGTGAACGGACACGAGAATGCAGATGTACGTACATATCTGCCTGGATCGATTGACTGTTAACAACCATTGAAGACGTGCGAAATAGCCGTTTTGTAACTAGTTCATACTATTTAACAGATTGCTATTGGATTCTTCTATGATAAACCTTTGAAAGGTTTTTATTTATTTTCCAGTTACGACAAAAATAAAAAATTAAATATTTTAATATGAATAAAAAACGCATTGACACTTTGCATTTTATTGTTTTGCCGTATGTAAACACATACCATTCATTCAATTAGTCAAGAAATTTCATTTGTATGACTTCATTTTCATGGAACGAATGCAGTCTGTTGTAAAAAAAGCTTTTCACGAAACAAAATGTTTGTCGTCAGATGGTCTAACGATTCGCATTAGGCACGATTTGTTTGTGCATAAATTATATGCTAAATGTCTCACTGCCACAAAATAATATAACTCTGCAAATGTTTAGCAAATAGGAAAAAATCTATCTTTTCTGGGTTTTTAACTTTTCAACTTTGTTTTTTTATTTCTTGTCAGCATGTTGTCATATTTCGCGAAGTTTATTAAATGATATATCGTGGTATTTTCATTTTGAACGGTGTAAACTGTTGACTGGACAATGGCGGATCTTGCGAGTAGCAGGATTTTTATTAAAAGTCAGTAAAGTTCAGTTTTTAGTTTAAAAACACCGTCTTTAAGTAGCAAAAAAGTCGCCAGCCTAATTTTGGCCACATTAGAGCAAACATTTAGTTAATTTAAGTTCTAAAATTTAAGTGCCCTCGTCTCATCAACATTGTTTAGGTCCGCCAGGAACATTTGTATGGACATTTGTACAACGTGGACCCGGTAAATTATTTGAAAGGAAACACTTTTTTCAATATTTGAAAACAACACTCAACTGTATGTACATGTTGCAAAAACCTGCAAAAACAATTTTATGAGCATATGTTTGATCGATCATTTGCATGCTTTGCAAATAACTTTTAGATAACTGAAATTCATATTTAAATTATTTAAATTAGAAATAAACATAGCCATCTATAATTTATTTTTCCTTAAAAGCACGCAAATATATACAAATAAGAATGCTTAGTATGTTAAAATCGAACCTTAAACAACTCTCACTGTTCAAAAAATACAGAACTGGATAATGAAACTTAACGAACTTTTTTTTAAATTTTAAATTAAACATGAACAATTGTTACAAACTTTCATAATAATCAAAGGGGAAATTTGGAAAAAGGTCGCAACGGTTTGGGCAATGGAACACCAGCTATCCTAAAATAAGCAGTAAATTGTTATATCACAGGAAGGAATATTATTGCTACTCAGAAGAGTGAATTAAACATATGTGACTGGCGTGTAAAGTGCTTGTCGTCTTACATTTACTTCCATCTCTCTGTGCATTTCTCTGTATTTGTTTGGTACGTGCGTGTGTGTGTTCGTGTGTGTGTTTGTTTACATGTGTGTGTTGTGTGTGTTTTTGGGAAGTTGTATACATCTATATGTACCATGTTAGTACAACATACGGTTGTGTATAGTTGGCCAATTAGGTGTGTTCGAACGCGGTTCTGCATTTTGGTGGCACAACATATGCGTGCGTGTTTGTGCACATGTGCATGATTTGTACAACTCTGGATATGATTGGTGCATGTGTTCTTCGTGTAGATATTTGTTCCTGGGATTTGTACATGCTAATGCTATGACAAGAAAATATTTTTCAGACATGTGCTGCTAAAATTTATTCACAATATTTGTTGGGGTTTGTTACAAAACAATGATATATGAATATTTGGTGCACCATAATGTTAACGCTAATCTCTCGCCAAGTAAAAGATCACCCAAAACACCGTAAGCGTTTTCATCAAACAAACACACACAAACATACACAAGTATACACAAACATACACAAGTATACACAAACATACACAAGCATACACAAACATACTCAAGCATACACAAACATACTCAAACATACACGAAAACATCATTCTTTTTTAATATATTCATACATGTGGCCTTTGATTGAAAACTACTGAGAGCGATACAAACACACACATATGAATGCACTCGCGTGAGGCAGTTGCAGTAGGACTTGTTGCGGCTTGTGAAATTAGATTAAGTTGCTCACTAATACATCACTTCTTTCCCTGAGATCATTTCTTGTCTAATCCATCTGCCTGCT